ACTTGCGTTGCACATGTGAGGCACTGGGTTCGCGATTGATCCTCAGCACCACTGTCCATTTACAAAAGTAAAAAAAAAAAAAAAAAAAAAGGGAAGAAGAAGGAACAGTCTGCAGACACTACCATTACAGCTAGGAGGCCTCAGGAACTGCTGGGAGCTCAAAATCATGGTAAGGTCTATTTTTCAGGATATAGGACATTTTTCACTATGTTTCATTTTGGCATGGCTATGTCCATAAAGACCCTACCTAGTTCACCACTAGTACATCTGAATATTCTCTTAATACTCTACCCTCTCTTTGTAGTATAAACTCCTTCCTTTCTTCTGCCCTAAATACCCTAAATATATACTGAATAATTTTAAGAACTTCAGCTATTTTTTAATTAGTGTTAATGCTGTTTTAGCATTTCACTTTTTTGGTGGGAGGTAACAGGGATTGAACTCAAGGGCAATCAACCACTGAGCCACATCCCAGCCCTATTTTGTATCTTATTTAGAGACAAGGTCTCACCGAGTTACTTAGCACCTTGCTTTACTGAGACTGGCTTTAACTCAAATCCTCCTGTCTCAGCTTCCCAAGCCACTGGGATTACAGGTATGCGCCACTTTTTTTTTTTTTTTTTTTTAAGTACTTGTATGATCTCTAAGACTTCTGTGGTAGGTAGCCAGCTCCCAATATGGACCCCAATGAGTACAGACTCCAGAAGTTCATATTCTTGATTAGTCTCCTCCCACAGCAATAAGAGTTATTGTCTGGCATGTGCAACCAATAGAATGCTGAGGACATGAAAGTATAGTTGTGCCTAGATCACAAAGGGCACTGCAGCTTCTCCCTTGCTTTCTTTTCTCTCTTAGATTGCTCACTCTGAGTGAATAGTAAGGTGACCTGTGGAAAGGCCCTCAATGGAGGGGAGAATCAAAACCTCATGTCAACAACTGGTACCATTTTATGAATGAACCATGTTAGGAATGGACCACCCATTCCCAGTCAAGCTCAGATGAATGCAGACCCAGCTGATGTGTTGACTATAACCTCTTCATGACTTTTATCTCCTAAATTAGAACCATCCAAGTAAGTCATTCCTATAATCCCGGCCCAGAGAAACTATATTAGGTAACTAATGTTTATTGTGCTATAAACCACTTAGTGTTGAAGGAGTTTATTAATCAATAATAAATTCATATTATATCTTCCATAAACCAAAAAAAAAAAACCAAAGAATAAAAAGGAAGTCATTGGATCAAGCATCTTCATTAACATCATATCTTTATGAGAAATTCAAAACTCAAGCCAAGAAAATAACTCAATAGACTTCTTTTGAACTTGGTATATTCACCTACGTAAATATAGGTGAAATGTATATATCTTATGTGTACATATTACTGAATTTTGACAAAAGCACTTACCATGTATGTAATAGCCAGACAAACTGTAAAAAAATTTCCATCACTTTGAAAAGGTCCCCTAAGGCCATTTTAAATTAGTTCTCACATTACCCACTTCTCCCAATCACACTCAAGCACTGATTTTCTATCATCATGGACAAGTATTGATTGTTCTGGTATTTCATATAAATGAAATATATAGCATATGTTTACACACACACACACACACACACACACACATATATATGTTACACACACACACACACACACACACACACACCCCTTGGAATGGAATTGTAACTTGCAATGGAATTGAGGGATAAAAAATAGATGTTTCTTTCTGTAAGAATTTAGCCTTTTAAGTTATAACAGAAATTTTCCACTCAGATTTGCCATGGGTTTTTCTATTAAGGAATCATGATGGTTCAAAATGTTGGTATAAGAAAACACAAAAATATATATTTATAAGTGCAATTGATCAATACCATATCAAGATGTAATGCATATTAAAAAGCTGGGCATAACTTCTTCTAGAATGATCCTTAGATCATATATAATTCCTTGTTTTACAAATAACGAAAATGATTAAGAGGCTTGTGCAAGGATGCCTTGCTAGTCAACAGCTTCTTTTTTGTTGTTTGTTTTGGTACCACAAATTGAACTCAGGGGCACTTGACCACTGAGCCACATCCCCAGCCCTATTCTGTATTTTATTTAGACACAGGATCTCACTGAGTTGCTTAGCAAGCCTCGCTTTTGCTGAGGCTGGCTTTGAACTCTCGATCTTCCTGTCTTAGCCTCTGAAGTTGCTGGAATTACAGGCGTGCACTACCATGTCTGGCTCAACAGCTTTTTCATTACAAATGTTGCATAATAAATCTTTATACAAATTTAACCCAGGCTCAGTTGAAATATTTTTCATAGATGAAGACTGAAATTGTTTTGAATTTTAATGATATGATTTATATCTAGAATATCCCTCAAAATCTCCTGTGTCGAAGACTTGGCTCCCAATGCAGCAATGTCTAGAGGTGGGGCTTTTGGGAAATGATGGGATTATGAAGGCTCTAGTCTCACCAGTAGACAATGCTTGATGGACTGAAAATGTAAATGGATTCTTGGTAGGTGGAACACAGTCAGAGGAAGGGGGTCATTGGGGATCCTTGAGGAATATATCTTATTGCTGGAGTTTCCTCCTCTCTTTGCTTTCCAGTTGCTAAGATCTGAGCAGCTTTCCTCTACCATGCCCTTCTACCATGATGTTCACACTCACCTTAGGCCTAAAGCAATTGAGTAAGACAACCATGGACTAAAACCTCTGAAACCAAGGGCCAAAATAAATATTTCTTCTTCTAACTTGTTCTTTCCAAGTATTTTGGTTACAGTGACAAAAAGCTGACTAACACAAGTATCAACTAGCTTCTACAGAGAATTATTTTTAGTAGCAGTGTATCAACTAGCTTTTACAAAGAATTAATTTTAGTAGCAGTGACACAAATTATAGTATAAATCTGAAATAGTGAGCAAAGAATAATATTACGTATTTTTAAAATAATCAAAATTGGTGACATCACACAAAAGATAACTATAAAAAGGTTCACTAAATAAGGTGAAGCTATTTCTAAATATATAGAAAATTCACTTTATTACCTATCGTCAGACTAGACCTTTCTAAAGAAGAAAGTAAGACTATGATAAACATGGTATCTGTAGTTTCACCCAGGGGCCCCAAAGCCTTTTATTCAGAGGTCAAATCATTTGAAGTACTAAGGAAAGTTCTATTCAATTTATTTGTTTTGTTCCCATAAAATTATCAGCATTTAATAAGATACTCATTTTTGTTCCCTTGAAAAAGATTTCCTTTCATTCAGAATATTGTGGTGATGGAAAAGTGTTAAACAATGAGAATAAAAACATTTTTTAAATTAGGATGGCACAGGATCCTCCAATAGCCCCCTCTTTCCCTATCACTTTATTTCTGTGTCCTAACCAAAAATAAGTGTCTTGATTCTCAGTGACCCAATTAGGTGCAGGTTTTTCCCAGCAGGCTTGAGCCCAGACCAGGGCTTTGAATGTTCCCAAGCACTGAAAACAGTATTTTAAGTTGTTGCTCAAAACACTTAAATTAGAGAAACTGGCCTCAGTTTTGAGTAAAAATTCCTTTAACACTCATGAATTTCATACCCTGATCCTTTGCTGCAGACATATGTGGAAAAAATATCACTTGCCGCAGTCCGGCTGCAGCAGAATAACCAGGGGGTGACGAACGACTTGTTTAGATCGATACAGCAGGAGTGGGAGCCGTTTATTGCAGGACAGGAGCAGTATTTATACATTCCACACAGCTTATCTAATTAGCATAAACTAGATATATCAGTCAACCAATAAGGAATCTCCACACTTAATGGCTCGCTGGTGTTACTTCACAAACCACTCCCTCTGGCATTTTGCCAGGCGCCATCCAGACTTGTTTACAGACTCTAACATTTCTCTGGCAAAATGCCAGAAGCCATCCTGACTGTTTACAGACTCTAACATTTTCCAGGCGCCATCCTGACTTGTTTACAGACTCGCTAACAATCACTTTTGCTAAATCTTAATAAGCTAGAGCACTCACTTTCCTTAATAAATGCTTGATTCTCCCTGGTATTCAGTGCTTCTTCCTTTGAAAACTTAATTGGCCCTACCTCGGGGCAGTATGGGGTATTTTTTTTTATAGGTACTCCCTTGCCAGCATGTTTGGGGAAACTCCAGGGGAAGGTTGTGAAGAATAAACAGATAATTACAGTGCCATAAAGTCTTATGGCAAGCATTTTGTAATCAGTCTAATGCAAATTTCTTGATTCATTAAAGATATATTTTGATGATTTTAAGATAATTTAAAAAATCTGTAAAACAATTCATTTGACAGTATAATTTGTAATAAAATTTAGATCGTACATTCTTCTTGTCAAAAGATAGAAAATAAATTTATTCAGTTGTTTACATATAAAATTCAAATTGAATCATTAAATTTTATTTAAGTCATGGTTATTATCTTTCTCCTCCTCAACATGACCTTTACTTAACAGAGTTCATTGTATCCCTAAAGTTACCAGAATCTTATGAAAATAACTTTAGCCACTAAAATGCTTGGTGCTAGGAAGAATGAAATTTTCAAGCCCAGTTCTGTAGCACACACCTGTAAAACCAGAAGCTGGTGAGGCCGAGGCAGGAGTATCAAGAGTTCAAAGCCAGCCTCAGCAATAGGAAGGTGATAAGCAACTCAGTGAGATCCTGTCTCTAAATAAAATACAAAATAGGGCTGGGGATGTGGCTCAGTGATTGGGTGCCCCTGAGTTCATGCTCCAGTATAAAAAAAAAATTCATATAAATATAATCTTTTCAGGAATTTTTTAAAGTACGTCAGAGAATGACTTCTTTGCAAAACATGAATATTGGACAACATTTACATTGAATTTCTATGTAACTTGTGAATTAAATTTCCTAAAGAAAAAAAATTGTCTTGATTTTATATCATTATATAAGTATCAGAAGAAATCAAAGCTCTGTATTTTCTACTTTTATTTGCCAATTTCCACTTTTCATTTACTTGTCCTGATATTATACAGTACCTCACAGGTTTTCTTTCTCGTAACAAATCTTCCAGACTCCGTTCACAGTGTTCAGCCACCACGACCAGTCTTTCTGAGCAAAACAAAGCAAACAGACTTTATATTTGATGAGCACTTAAGTTACTAACATATAATATGAATAACAGAATCTTAAAGCTCTATATTAAATATATTACTAAATATATAGAAAAATAGGATAAGTATCTAGTTAAATAAATAACATTTTTTTTTTTTGGTAGCAGAGATTGAGCTCAGGGGCACTCAACCACTGAGCCACACCCCCAACCCTCTTTTGTATTTTATATGGAGACAGAGTCTCACTGAGTTGCTTAGCACCTTGCTGCTGCTGAAGCTGGCTGTGAATTCAGGATTCTCCTAACTCAGCCTCCTGAGCTACTGGGATTACAGGCGTGTGCCACATGGCCCCATGTAACAATTCTTTTTCATCTTACTTTTTTTCTCTAGAGTTTCTCTTATATGCTTCATGAAAAACAGAAGGAAAAGTTAACCTTGGGATAAAAGAAATGATCCCTTTGATATAAACTGAAAGACTGCCAAAAAGATACAAAGAAATTTTAAAGGGACAGAGAAATTTGAAAATTAGTTACTGTTTTCACAGTCTGATTCAAACCCAAAGTCTTTGAAATAGAATTCAGAAATTTGAGAAAAGTAGAAATATTCTACAGAGAGAGAAAATAAAATCAACCTGTTTGCAACATCATGAGGCCTGCTGATATTAAATAATATAAAATAATAGTAGACCATTTTATAATGTAATTTTTATTTTCCAACAGATCAACTGCCTAAGATAGTACAGATCTAATGACCAACCAATACCGTCTTTTCCTTTTACTTATCCATTATCCCTAGTGACTAACATCATATCTGACACAGTGGCAGATCAATAATTTTTTGTTAAATGAATCTACAAACAAAAGAAAGTACAACTGAGTTTAGAAGTGGTTAGGTATTTTGTAAGGTTATTTCAAAGAGTTTCACTTTAAAAAAAAATTGAGCTGTTATAAGTTTCTATGCAAAATGGGTTCTAAGTTATGCAAGGAAGAAAGTTAACACAAAGCACAACGAATTACGGTGAAAAGTAGATCTACCATATTATCCAGGTTTTCTACTTTTGGATATACATTCAAAAGAACAGCGTACCAAAGGGATGCCTGCACACCCCATGTTTACTGCAATACTATTCACAATAGCTATGATATGGAATCACTTTAGATGCTCATCACCAGATGACTGGATAAAGAAAATCGTGTGTGGTATGGAATCTTAATCAGTCATCAAGAAGAAATCCTATAATTTATACCAAAATAGATGGAAATGAATTCACTGTGTTAAAGTAATAAGCCCAAATATATTAAGACAACATATACTCTATCATATGTGCAAGCAAAAATGACTGGACCTGAATGTAAAATGGTCATTAGTAGTGGACGGGAAGTGGGTGTGGAATGGTAGATAAAGGGAAATTGGGTTTGATCAGTCCAACCGTATGCATGTGTGGAAATATCACACTGAATCCCATTAACACATACAATTGATACATGTTAATAAAATATAAAATAATTTGAGCAAAAAAACAATGACATTGAGAAAAGAAGTTACAAAGATACTATAATAATGATAACTACAAACAGAGGTTTGGTGAAGGTGAAAAAGAAGCAAAGGTAGAAAAAAGAACAGAAGATGGGAAAGTAGAAGCTGAGAACAGAAGATATGTATGAGATAACTCTCAGTAACTGGTTCAACATATGATCTTTCAAACTGCAATAGAGAGTAAGATAAAGGACAACGTTGTACAGGCAGTGTGACATGGGGTGTGAAGGTAGGGTATTATTTTGGATTCTATCTTGGAAGTTAAAACTGTCTAAAGTGTTAGCATTACACAGAACAATCTGAAACAGAAAAATTAAAAATACTATGAATGCAAACTATCATTTTCAGATAAAAAATTCAAATTAAACAGGAAGGGAAAGAGAATTAAATAGCAGAAGACAAAGCTAGGGATGGGTTTAGCAGGGGTATTTAATAGAAATTTAAAGAGAATTCAATTTGAAAGAACGCTTAATGAGAGAAAAGAAAAAGAAAAACAATAAGGAAGCCATGATAAAACTTCAAGCTCTCACTCAATTAAAAAAAAAAAAAAAAAAAAAAAAAGCTGAGGGGCTGGGGGTATAGCTCAGTTGGTAGAGTGCTTGTTTCACAAGCACAAGGCCCTGGGTTCAATCCCCAGCATGCCCCCCTCTCCCCTCCCAAAAAAAGAAGCTAAACTCCAAGCAATTTAGTGTAACTGCAAAGTTCTAAGAGGAAAAAAACATCAAAACATATCATAAAACCAAAACAGAAAATGGTATTCGTTTGCTTTTTATTCCTACATTTGTTGGGTTTTTCTAACCCTATCTGACTCCATCCTCTTAAGTTTCCTCTGTAGAATCATCATTTCTTCCATCTAAAATGAAATACTGCCTATTTCTCTAGCTTTGATTTGGGGTCTTCTAATTGTATTTTCTCCTTCTCTACTCCCAATGCTGAAAGATGGATAAATTTTATTTCTAGACTTGAACTCTTCTGAATTATAGGCTTTTACAGCCAACTTCTCACTTAATATAAGTCACCTGAAACTCAAGAGAAGTAAAACTAAACTTTAAAGTCTGTCTTCAAGTTTTTTTGGTGCTATTTCAACAAATGATACCATTATACAGCCAGCTGCTCTAGATAGAAATTTAGGAGTAATCTTTCTCAAATTACACAAACAGACCTCCTATTGCTATCTTCAAAATGTTTCCAGGAATCTATGCAGATTTCTCCATCTGCCACAGCATGGGTCCAAGTAAGCATCATCTCATTAGGTTACTGCAAAAATCTCTTACTGTTCTCACATACACCCTTTTTTTCCTTTAATATTTTTTTTAGTTGTCAATGGACCTTTAATTAATTAATTTATCTATTTATTTATTCACTTTTTTATTTATTTGCAGTGCTGAGAATCAAACCCAGTGTGTCATACATACTAGTCAAGCACTCTACCACTGGGCTACAACCCCAACCCTCACATAAACTCTTATTCCAACCCCCAACATATTTTCACACTAAAGTCCAAGTGATAAAATAATTAAAAATCTGAATAAGGAACCCCCAGTCTTCTTCTTTTGTTATTTTATACTAGCTCATCAACTTTGAGCCACTCTGATTTTCCTGCCTTTGAATATTTAATTACACATGGGTTTCCACTGCCTGAAATGATCTTCCCAACTTCTGTATTTAACTCCTATCATGTAACAAAGTAGTTAAGAGCATAGGATATTTTTTCTTGGCCTCAAATCCTAATTTTCTATTCATTAGCTAATTGACCTGGGAAAAGTTTGCTAACCTATCTATTCCAGTTTTCTTTTGTGTACAAGGAAGAAAACAATGGGGTCTACCTCATAGGGTTGTTGCAAGGCTGGGGAGGAGCTAATGAGATAATGAGGACCTTGGCTAAATGTGACTTCCTACAGACTTTTCTGGTCCCCCAAATTAATTCACTACTTCTACAATGTACTTTATTACACTATTCTTTGGTAGTACTTGTTTCAACTCTAAGGATTTGTATACATTTTTATTTAATGTGTTTTCTCTAATCAAATAATACATTTCATATGGCAGGAATATATTGTTCAGTATTAAATTACTAATACTTAGAATGTCACCTAAAACATACAGGCAGAGACTACACATATATTTGTTGAATGAACTAATGGAGCAAAGGCAGGATATAGTCTTTAGAAATGATGATAGTCATCAGAGATCTGTCCTGTGTAAAAAATTTCATGCTTACTTTGTAAACTAGATATAATACCTCAGTCACACTTATAACAAAAACATCGGAATTTATTAAAATGTTCACATTCCATTAATTAACCATTTTATGTATAAAAGATTTCCACAGTATTTGGAACTAGATTAAAATTTGTCAGGCTTATTTTGAAAACTCCTTCAAGATATCATAAATCAATGTTTGCCAAAGTTTCAAGATTCTATACAACTATTTTAAGCATTGTTTTGATGGTTCAGAGCCATAATCCATGGCAGAATATTAGTGTTTCTCCCAGAGGTAATAGAGTGTATACCACAATGATGTTTCCAATATGAGCCAGTTTTTTCAAGAAACATTAGGGAGACTGTTCTGAAACTCTGGACCACTGTTTGAAAATAACTTCTGTTTGTTATAAAAACAATACAGTTTCACAGAATAAAATATTTGGGAATCTTAATGTGCCAAATACAAATCAGCAATGCAGTGGCTTATATAAAAAAACAAATGTGATGCTAAGATGAACATATAAAACTGTGAAATAGTCCTTTTTTCTAACAAAGATTTGATGAATGCCAAGAAGTGTCACTTCCTAGATCCTCTAGCAGACATCTACTTCCAGAGGAGCACAGATAACTCAGGGTAGTCTTGTTCCCAGCCCTCAGAGGAAAAAGTTCCCCTTTTATAAAAATAAGCCTCAGGCCTGGGGCTGTAGTTTAGTTAGCAGTGCACTTGCCCAGCATGTGTGAGGCACTGGACTTGATCCTCAGCACCACAAAAAATAATATAAAGGTATTGTATTGGGTTCATCTACTATAAAAAATATTTTTAAAAAAATAAGCCTCAGTACTACATTCAAAAGGTGAAGTAGACCACTGTTACAATTCATTCACACCATTTAATTAATAAAAGTTATTTTTTAAGAACAAGAAACTTGCTAAAAGTTTTGTACTGGGCTTTTGGCAAATGGATAGGGTTATCTATATATTCTACTGTATGAAGTTACCAGTAATGTTCATGTTTTTCTTCAACTGGAAAAGGCATCCTTTCTTTCAGTATCAGTTAGAATCAGATTATAGCTCCCACCTAATCCTCTGGCCAGAAGCTTTCATGCAGTGTGCAAATGGCAAAACCCTTTACAGTGGCCCTGACTGTAGGACTCTTGATTAGAAAGTATATATGTAATAAAACAGGAGGTACATGTCAAGTCAACCTTGGAAAGTCTGAGATCTTATATTAGAACCTCAATTTTGCCATTGAGACTCTTTTAAAAAAGAGTCTCTCCATACATTTGATATTCAATGGCAGAGCTTTAAAACCCTGTCTTTACATTAAGAATCCTTTTGAGAATCAACAAAAACCATGTACTTTTTTGATAAAGTGCATCTGTACACATCCACACACAAAAAACATCCAATTTTACTTACAATTTTGAAGGGTTCACTGACTTTCTACAACTCATTCATAGGTCTCCATGGCTACTAGGTTACCAGCTGCTATCATAAACTGTCAAATTTACTTTAACCCAAAGAAAAATTGGGACCATAAACTACAGAGAATTTCCAGCTCAGAGAACAACAACAACAACAAAATCAAAACAGAAACTCAACAAAACAATAAAGCAAACATAGCCAGATATATTGAGAACACTGCTTATAACAACACAAAGAGATAAAAATTCCCCGTATCAAAGAAGTTTCTATACCAATGTTTCCATACTTCATTTGCAGGACAGATTTAGGAACATTAAAACTTTGCAACAACTCATTTTTGCACATGTAGGTAAAAATCTACCAGTTAATCTCATAATTATCTTCTTATTTAAAAAATCTCTGAAGTACTTGGATTTCCTTCTTTTGCCCTTACCTATAAGAAATCTACAAATTTAAACTGGGAGCAGTGGCACAGGCCTGTAATCCCAGAGGCTCAGGAGGCTGAGACAGGAGGATTGCAAGTTCAAAGGCAGCCTCAGCAATGGGGAGGTGCTAATCAACTTAGTGAGACACTGTCTCTAAATAAAATACAAAATATGGCTGGGGATGTGGCTCTGTGGTTAAGTGCCCCTGAGTTCAACCCCTGGTACCACCACCCTCATCCTACAAATTTAAAGCCCACCTGAGGAAACGATGTATTTAATACTACTACTAACCTAATATCTTATTCTAATCCTATTTCCTTTCTCCATGAAAGGGATATCAGAGTATGCCACTCCAAAATATGCCACATTAGTGTAAGGATTGTTTTGGCTGAAGGACATAATTTTCTCTAAAACGCAGGATATAAATTTCTCTATGTAAAAATGACAGAAATTTCCATTTGTAAAAGTGTCCCTTCCCCACATCAGAAAGGAAAATGACTCTTACCTACATAATGAAACTTATTAAACACTTTTTATTTGCCATATCTTTCCTAGTCATCTTCCCACAAATTACTTCTACACCAGAAGCCCCAAATCCCTTCTCCTTTGTCTAGCCTCTTCTCTATACTTTATCACCCCTTATTACAAAGATATTAAAGACCCAAATTCTAACTAGCTCTTTGAGTGATGTTTTTGTGAAATCCCCAGCTGCATGTACATGTGTGTATATATGTATGTATATATACATACAGAGAGATACTAAAAATCTCAGTATGTTTTTAATCCTGTTAATTGGCGTTTTGTCAATTGATTATTTGATTCCCGGGCTTCAGATACTTAATATAAGAGAGTAGTTTTTGCCTTCCTACATCTACATAATGATTATTTATTTTTCTTCCATGTATCATACATACACACACACACACACACACACACACACACACATATATATATATCTCCCCTACACAAAATGCTTGGGATATGTTCCAAATTTTTTTGTTTTTCAGATTTTGAAATATGTGCACAGACTTTATGGGTTGAACATCCCTAACTCCAATATCTGAAATTCAGAATGCTTCTAAATCCCAAAGTTTTCAAGGACCAATCCATTTTGGAATTTTGGATTAGGGGTGCACAACAAGTGTTAAATATTACTATATGGATATCTGTAACATGTCTCAAATACTTTTTGGAAAAAAAGTAAGATTACAATTAAAATATGTAAATTCATTTTTTAAAATAAGAATGATTGATTAATAATGAAACCAAGATTTGGTTTGTTAGGACTATATCAACAACAAAAGACAAGAAAATCTTTTGAAAATCCTTCAATATTTTTAGGCCACCAGTACCATTGAAATGAATAAATGTAAGGAGATAAAACTTCACAAAGGAACCATCAAAACTGTATTCTGAAATACTTAAACCAAAACTTTTATGTAAGAGTTTAACATCAATATTCTTCAATGCAGAATTTAATATTCTATCCTTTATATTCTTATAACAGCACAATGTGTATCACCTATTTTTAGTACTGCTATATTAAAATCATGATTGTATTCTTCCCTACAATTTCTGCAGCTTATTTGGGAACTGGGATCCTATCCTGACTTATTCATTTCTAAATATTTGGAACCTAGCACAAAAAAAGAAGGCCATAGAATCAAGCAACAGTCTACTAAAGTGTTATAAATCCTGTAGATAGAGGTTTAGAGGTTATATATATATGAAAGCAGAAAGTAAGAAATGTCAGTGGTTAAGAAAATCTTGTTTCTAGAAATTCTTCAACTCATCAACATATTTGTAAACTTTGTTTCAAAGTTAGTTTTCTACTAGTTCTGCCTTCTAAATGTGTTTACTATGGAAAGAAACCCTTAAGGCATCAATATGATGTCTCCCAAGTTTTCAACTGAAAGGTTAGGCCAAAAACAGAAATATACTGATATTTGGTGAATCAGTCAATCAATGGAAGGCAACTTTGCACAGTAAAAGAAGCTACGATAAAATCATGTATTTTAAGGCCTGTATGTCTATGCCTATACAGATGTACAAACACACACATATATATGCTTATATGTCCATACATACATGCACATATATGTATATACACATATATACAACCATACATATACAAATAATACACATATGCATGTATGAATATGAAAAATCAAATATTTTTATCATCTGCTATACAATCCTTCTCACCACCACTCTCTTTCCTATTCATATCACTAAGCCTCCTAACAAAAACTAAATATTCAGAGTAGTAGGTATATGGTGGAGCTCTAAAGTACTTGGACACTGAATAGTTTTTATCATTTGTTATCAATATATGATTATAGACATAGGCAACTTTTAAGATACTTCAACAAATAAAATGTATCATTACATGTATTAGTGTTATTATTTTACCATTTCATATTTTCTTTTGTGTGATCCTGCTCTGAACTTCAATTTCCTTATCCTTAAAATGAAGGTGTAATAGTTTCTATTTCAAGGTCATCTTATGAGGATTTTTAATTAAAATATGTAAAACACTTAAATATTGCCTGATACATAATTAAACACTAAACTATTAGCCATTGGTAATTGTCATTACAAAAATATTTTCTACTTCGAGTCTATAAACACGAAGATTCTCAGAGCAAATAATTTTATGAGAAATAAACTACCTAACTTCAAAGTATAATTTTAGCCTACTTTTCAAAAGAACAATAAAGAAAAGATAGTGTGGGTTTATGAGGCTGAAACACATGTAATCATATGTGAAAAGACTAACGTTGCTCAGTAAAAAAAAAAAAAAGCAAAACTAATCTTGTGACTTTTTATTTGAAGATAGCCAAAATTATTTTCAAACATAAATAGCTAGCACACACCTACACACATAACAATTTCTTTTTATATTTACTACATATTTATCACTGAATCTTGGTAAGAAGGTAGAAAACAGGGAGTAGAAAAGAAGAAAAAAAAAAAGCAAAAAAGCAAACTCACTTACCATGCTTTCCCCTAGAAATATCCACATACTGGCATAGTCTGGGATGGGTGATAGTCTTAAGGATTTGAAATCGACCTAAAATCTTGATGGAATTTGGTGTGAGAGGAAGGCCATTGCTTCCACAAACATCGTGTGGCAGAGCTGAGGCAAAGAAGGTAAAGGCACCCATTTCTGCATCCTTCAAGGGAAACATTCTTAGAGTTCCAGATCTTCCAAGATGATCTGGAAAAGAGAGAGAATTTTATTACAGACTGAACAAACATTAAGTCAGTATTTTCTCACCTTATACTTAATACACCACTTGGAGATCAATGTCAAACTGAACACTACAGTAAAAAATATCACCCAGTGGTTCAGGAGATTAAGATAGGAGGATCACAAGTTCAAAGCCAGCCTCAGCAATGGCAAGGCGCTAAACAACTCAGTGAGACCCGGTCTCTTAATAAAATACAAAATTGGGCTGGGAATATGGCTCAGTGGCAAAGTGCCCCTGAGTTCAATCCCTGGTACCAAAAAAATTAAAAATAAAAATTAAAAAAATCAATGTTTAAAAGTTATAAGGTGGTACAGAAGAAAAAACTCAATTTTTTTTTTGCAGCTCTAAATCAAATCCAAAGTTTCCCAAAAGCATTAAAAAGAAAAGCTAGACCATTCCCATCTTCAATGACACTTGAAAGTTTTAAAAGCACATAAAGTTTGTTATTGCATTTTCACATGAACAAAGCTCTTCTTCCTACTATGGAGCTCAAAAATGATTTCAAGAAGCTATTATAAAGCAAAATGTATATGGAAGAGTACTTGTGCCAAGAAAATAGAAAGAAAATAGAAAGAAAGATTTGCAACCTATAATAGTCAGGTCTCTTCCAATTCAGAAGCTACATCAGAGAAGGTAAGAACGATGGTGAAAGAAAGTCAAAATAAAGTCAGAAGGGTGGCCTGAAAGAGTCAAGAGTCAAGAGTCCCCATATGGGCAGTTATTTATCCTCTAAGCAAAAAACAAATACAAGGATAAAGTTCTCCCCTAAAGTAACTGAACAAACTGAAAAATTATAGTTTGGTTTCGGCACAGGTGAAAGAAAGAGAGAGAGAGAGAGAGAGAAAGAGAGAGAGAAAGAGAGAAAGAAAGAGAGAAAGAAAGAGAGAGAGAAAAAGAAAGCTACTCTTAATTCTATAATTTGTAGTAGTCCAGTAAAGTTCTGGATATCCACCCAGTCATCCTAAAACATATTAGCCAGTCAACAAGCCTTTCAAAATACACAAAGCTCAGAGTCAACCTTCCTTAAATGCTAAAATAATAAACCATCTTAGAATTATCAGCTAGTTTAGAAGAGATACATAAATGGAAAAATTCTATTTTGGGAAACAATGGAAATAATTTATGAAAAAATAAATTTAAAAAACCATATATTTAGAGATTGGAAAAAATACCGCATCCAGTAAGTAAAGCAGGAGGTTGCAGAAAAACATATTTCACAAAGATTAAAGAACAATAATTAACAGATATAAACAACTTCATTATAATAAGAGTTGCTCATTAAAATGATATAAGAAGGTATACTCATCATCTAGTAAAAATTATAATGATTGTTTATGATAACATAATGTTATGATATGTGGAAAAATCAAACCTTTCACTTACTCTAAGTCAGAATGTAAATTGGTATGACCACTTGGGAAAACAGTTTGATACTATATTTCTGCAGAGACTACTACATATATACACAAGGAGATTTATATAAGAAATCCAAAGCAGCATTGTTCCCAATATCCCCAAACTGGAGACAATGTGAATTTCTAATATCAGGTGGATGGTTAAATACATTTTGATGCATTCACATGATTGAACAGTTTAGAGCATGGAAAAATAAGCAAACTATAGCATCATTTAACAGCATAGATGAATCTTAGAAATGCTAAATGGATAAAAAGTCACATAAAACTTATGCCAATATTTATAAAACTAAAAACATAAAAAAATTAATAATTCTGGAATATTTACATGTTTTAGAAATATTCAATAAGAATGAGGGAAAAAAACTCAGTATAGGGTACCAATGTGCTGGGTTGAATCTACAAGCTGTGTGGTGGCTCATGATTGTGTGCCCAGCCAGACTGCGGCACCAATGGATGAAAAGTAGTGGCAAAATTAGGAAAGAAGCCACAAGAAGCTTTAAAAATCTAAAGTAAAAGTGAGTTCTTAGTGGGTTGGTTAATGGTTGTTCATCATAATTTCCATTACAATGTATCTATACCTAATATGCATTATATATACATTTTAAAAAATATAATGAATTGATTTTAAACAAAGGCAAAGAAATTCAATAGGGAAAGCATAGTCTAGCAAACAGTGCTGGAACAGGCTAACCATGAGGAAAAAAAAACAATAACCTCAACCTCTACTGATAAACCCACAAAAATCTAAGATGGATCATGGGCTTAAATGTAAAAACTGAAACTGAGAGTCTTCTAAAAGAAAACACATGAGAATATTTTACAACCTTAAGCTAGGCAAAGATTTCTTAGGTAGAAACAGAAAGCACTAATAATAAAAGAGAAATTTGATAAAGTAGACTTGATCAAAATTAAAAACATCTGCACACCAAAAAGCACTTTTGAGAAAATAAGCATTCAAGCAATTATAAGAGAAATATTTATAACTATCTATACATATATTATGTGTGTGCCAATACATATTTGTAATCTTTATCAAATATGTGTCTATATATATATGACAAGACTTGAATGTAGAATCTACAAAGAATTCTTATATGCCAGTAATAAAAAGACATATAAGTCCATATGTAAACAGACAAGTCATAAACTTATATTTTCACAAAATGTACACAAATAAACAACACATTAAAAAGTATTCAATGTCATTAATCACAGAAAAACACAAAACCTCAACTGCAGTCCTTCACTTCTATCAGAAGAAATGACTGGCAATACTCCATGGAAGGGAATGCTGAACTGAAGCTCTGATACATTGTAAATTTTCTAAAGTTAAAAATATTCCTGGGGCTGGGGATGTGGCTCAAGTGGTAGCACGCATGCCTGGCAAGCGTGCGGCCCGGGTTCGATCCTCAGCACCACATACAAACAAAGATGTTGTTTCCGCCGAAAACTAAAAAATAAATATTAAAAAATTCTCTCTCTCTCTCTCTCTTCACACAAAAAAAAAAAATTCCTAACTTGACTAAGAAATTCTAGTTCTATAAGCCATCTGTCCAAGAAAATCAACATATTTGTTCATAATAATGCATACATTAGCAGGCTGACAGTACTTCTTCTCATAATAGATAAAAACTGAAAGCAATGTAAATATCCCACAACTGAATGGATAAAGAAGCTTTGCCATGGAATTCTACTCAAAAAAAAAAAAAAAAGGAACAAACATGAGAAAACATGAATATATCTCAAAACTACATTGATGAAGAAGCAGACACTAATGAGTACATAATATATGACTCCCTTTAAATGTAATTCCAGACCTTTTATTTAAACTTAGTGATAAAAATCAAAACATACTATTCTGGGTGGGGAAGAGGAATTTTAAATAGATAGGGCAACAGACAAACTTCCCACAGTAATGAAAATGTTTTATATCTTGATAGTAGTGGTGGTGGTTACAAGTGTAAATACATAAACCAAAACTCATCAAATAGGTCATTTAAAATCTGTTTATTTTAATATGTGTAAATTTTATCTCATAAAAATGAAACAAAATTAAGAGGCTATGAACAAAAGAATTATCAAAGGCAAAAATAGTGGAAATTATGATCATCAAATCAAATAGATGCACTGGAAAATAAAGTTCAGATAAATTCTCATAATATAGAACAAAAACATAAGAAAAAATATAACAGACATGGATCAACACAACAAACACTTTAGAGGAATTTCTAAACAGGGAAAAAGAAAAACGAGACAAAGTAATGAAAGATAAAAATAAAGAAAATTTTCCATACTTAAAGGGAAATATGTACATTTAAATGAAAAAGACTTATAATTTTATAAGGCATAAATGAAAAACACCCACACTGGGATATTTATCTTACCCCCTTTAATGAAATCATTGCAAGGAGAATAAACTCACACCTAGATATGCCACTATAAATTTTCAAAATATCCAGCATAAATTGAAATAGTTAATCAATTCTTAGAGGAAAAAAATAGTTCATCTATCAACAAATTAAGAGCAGACTAGACAGTAAAGCTTTGAATGATCTAAAGGAACATAATCTTTATTCTATATGCAGCCAAATTATCAATTATAATAGCTAATTGTAATTTATAATTATGTAAACATTAAAAAACAAACTTTTCATCTATACATTCTGTTTAATTTCTTTAGAACGTATTTCAGCAAGACAGGAGAAAAACAAATAATAGAAAATGTGGCTTAACAACAATGTGATTTATCCAAATGTTCAATAAGTATAAACCCACTGTAGAGGTTATCTAAAAGAACTAGAATGTCATTTGTCCAAATTAAGCAATAGCCATTGGTCTCCATGGATGTCTTAAATAGAGGAATAGAATAGAAGGTTCTATGTATGAAATACAAAAAATTAGAGGACTGCTGAAGAAAGCACATACACCTTTTCCGCAAATGAAAACAGAAAAGCAATCAAATGGGGCGTTAAAAGGTAAGCAAGGGTATTTATCCTGAAGAATTAGTCTTCATACTATAGTGATACAAACATACCCATGTTTATAGCAGCATAATATGCAACTGTCAGAGACTATGGAACCAGCCTAGGTGTCCATAAACAGATGAATAAAGAAAATGTGATATATATTCAGCCATAAAGAAAAATGAAATTGTGTCATTTGCAGGAAAATGAATGGAACTTGATACCATTCTATTTAGCTATATAAGCCAAACTCAGAAGGTCAAGGGTCGTATGTTTTCTCTCCTATGTGAAAATTAAAGAGGTAAAAGGAAAAGAAAGGAGGGGGGGAGGGACGAGGGGGGGGGAGGTGGGCAGTGGGAGGACAACAGGGATCTCATGAAAATCAAAGGGAGATCAGCAGAGGAAAGTGCCCATGGGATAGGAGGAAAGGAGGAAGGGACAAATCCTGGGGAGAGATATTGGCCAAATTATATTGTTTTACTGTATGCATGTATGAATATGGAGCAACAAATCTCATCATTATGTACAACTATAATGCACCAATAAAAAATGTGGAAAGAAAAAAATAAAGTAGGGAGAATATCAATAGTCTAGGAAATAAAGCACAATTTATCTGTGGCATGAATTTTCGCCATTGGAGAAGAAAGAAGAATCAATTTGACCTTAATATTACAAAAAATGTGTTTTAGGTTAGTACAGAGATTACAAAACTAAAACACTGGGAAGAAAATGTACTCTAGCATACTGCCTGGATTTGCAGTGAATAATAATTATAAAGCCACAATGTTATAAAAGTTTTATTGGTTTACAATAAAATGTACTTGTCTTTTAGCATAAAAAGCAAAAGATTATATCATTAAGAAACATAAATTTTATTGGGCTGGGGATGTGGCTCAAGCGGTAACGCGCTCGCCTGGCATGCGCGGGGTGCTGGGTTCGATCCTCAGCACCACATTTTAAAAAAATAATAAAATAAAGATGTTGTGTCCACTGAAAATATTAGAAAGTTCTCTCTCTCTCTCTCTCTCAAAAAAGAAAGAAAGAAAGAAAGAAAGAAAGAAACATAAATATTATTAACCTTGATGATTTATAAGTAAAGTTACAGCTAAGGGAAAGTGCAGGTTTCACCAACTAACCCTGTAGTAACCAACAGTTGACCAACAGGCTGTTTACAGATGCCCCTGGTTTACAATAGTTAAAGGGAGTTAGAGAACACTAACAGCAAAGTGGAACCCCAGACAGGCTCAATCTAGTTCAGGCATCACAGAGACAGTCCAGATGACCTTGAACTCATTATAATGACTTCTTTAAAAGATGGGCACTTTGTCAGATACAATTATCCAAATGAGGAAAGAAAGAAGATGACACCCTGATTTATAGAAATACCATCCCTTCTCAGTGAAAAGCTCTGAAGACAGTATGCATACCATTCCCTCTCATAATGCAGACTTACATACTTTTACAGTATAAGCACCCCTTCTCCATTAACCCCTGAATAAAATTTCCTGCCTGCTCTCAGAACTGATCATTTGAAAATAGTATTGACCAGGAAAAGAACTTACAAGTTTGGTAACAGTTGCATGCAGTTTCTGCTCTTATGAAGAAAGAGTCACTACTTTTCTCATTTTAACAAAATAAGTTGTCAAAAATATTTTCAAAAGTTGATGTGAAAAAGTAGAGTTTACATATATTATTTAGGATTATAAAGTAACCAACACAAAAACTAAAAACTGTGAAAACTATTCTAAAATCTGTGGATGCTATGGACTACTTTAAGTCAATAGGAAAAAATCAGAATTTTAACTTATCATTCAACAATTAGGTCTAAATTAGAAAATGTTAAAGTGTTTACATCTGAACAGCCCTCAGTGTAGAAAATGATAGAGAACTGGTGCATTTTATTATTCAATCCTACTACAAACTCTATTGGGTTTTCAATTAGATGCCTTTATCACTTAGACAACTGAAAAATCAAATAACCAAATAAGTAAAATGCAAATGATTTTAAAAGATAAAACATTAATTAGCATAAAATAATTAATTATTGTTCTATTTCAATTACCTCTCAAGATGTACCTAAAAAGGCTCATAAAAAAACACACGTGCATGTTGCTTATGTACTACGTGAGTAAAAAAGGGTTACAAGAGGAAAACAGCAAACAAAGCAGTTGGACTTGAAAATTCTTTCCACATTTTGAAATCCCTATTTTAAGTCAAATGTTTCTCCTGGTACTGTGCCAACGATGAACAAGAATCTTTATCCTCAAAGGACTGGGAGCTGAATGACTCGAATGGGGGCCGGGGTGTCAAAAGCAAGGAGAAAGATGCTAATTTTATCATGAACAAAATAGCATTTACATTTCTTCAACAAGTAATATTAATTCACTGATTTTATATACATTTTCCCAAAAGTTGTCTCTGTCCCAAATACAAACAGGGACAGAAGGCCTTGTAAAACAGCCACTGAAAATTGTGAAATCACTCTCTTTCACTGCGTCAATTTCTCCTATTGTTTAAGAGAGTATTATACTTCAATAATTGACTACACCTTGAAAGCCAGAAACATACCAAAGCATTAAGTGCGTAATTTGGTTTAAGAAACAGAAAAGACTTCAGATCTTCTAACCTTCTCTTTAAGCATTCATTTGATGCTGTAGTTGCGTTCGAAAGTTGCCTTAGATTTCCAAGACTCCTGTGAACGTGTGGTTTAGGGGGAAAAGGGGGCTGTAGCTAGGGATGGAGACAACCCCCATCAGCAAGAAGCCCTGCTCCATCTCTCGCTGCAGACATGAGAGCCACTTGCTGCAAATGATTTTCCTCTACCTCCCACAAGTCCCACCAACTACGACACAGAAAACGGGGATACCCGAATACCTGCCTCTGAGTCTGGGGACGCAAGCGGACAAAAGACAGGGGGATGGAGCTTCTACACTGGGCCCCAGCGCTGCGTCTGTGGCTGGTGTTGCCGTTACTGCTTAAAAGCACCAAGTCCTGCGTTTTAGGTACTTCGACAAAAGAGGCCGTTCCTGGAACGCTGGGGGCTCAGAGATTGGCATTTGCCTGCGAGCCAGGACAGCCTAAGTTCCCTTCTAAGAACCTGGCCGGGAACCGGAGACCGGCAGGCTCCACTGACAGCGCCCTGCTGTCCCCTCCCCCACACACGGAACAGGTTGGCGCTTCCTTTTGACCTTAGGGCTTCGCGACGCAGTCCTGAAGAAAGACCCCCAACTTCCGGTCTCTTGCCGCTTGCCTAAACTGGCGATAAAATATAGCGAGAGGGAAGAGGTGCCGGGGGAGTTGGTGATGTTGGGTGAGGGACTGGAAAACTGAGAGTGTGGTGTGGGTGAATAAGTAGAACTGATCACAGGAAGAGAAGGACAGAGCGTGGGGTTGATTCAGTGGAACGCTCAGGCGTTTAGTTGGGGCACCTTATTGGGTCCTTTCTCCCTGCCACCGTGTGCTGCAGGCTGTCTCTGTCGGCTCGAGGCTGAGGCTGCTTGGGAGCTGCTGCCATCGCTTCACTTGAGTAAGGTCGCGGAGGGTCTGGGGTACGCAGATTGCCATTTTAGGGGTTTCTCTTCCCTTACTTTTCCCCACGAGAGAGGACCTGACTTGCGGGTACTAATAGGAAGTCTGATTCCCATCAAAATCCACACCGACGTAAGAAAATAGGAAAGAGCTTGGAATCTTGAAGGAACCAACTTTGAGAAATAGATGTAAAGCCAAGGGAAAGGACGTTATTGGAGAAAAAGATTCTTGAGCATGTTTACTTTTGTGTGTGTGTGTGTGTGTAAAAGGACTTTGATGTTTGTGGGTGAAGCCAGTAATTCGTTGATTTGGCAAATAGTTATTAAAGCCCACTATATTTAGGTTTTAGGTAAAGAGCTGTGAATAAATGTGTGCCTCCAGCCCACATTTCATTGAGGAAGACATAAAAGTAAATAAGAGCATAGCATATTTCAGGTCATGAATTCTGCTGAAGAAAAAAAAAAATTACCCAGCAAGGAAAGGGGACATAGTCTAAAATTTTAATGCAGTGAGAGAAGGCTCACGGAAAAGATGACTTTTTTTTTTTTTTTTTTAGTTAGGAGGTGACAAAAATGAGAGATTTAACCATGGAGATATCGCGGGGAAGTGCAGTCAGGCAGAAGGACCAGCCTTTGCAGAAGCCATGAAAAAGTTACCAGAACAGTACACAAACCTGTGTGTCAAAGTTGAGTTAAGGGCTTAAAGCTGTAGATAGACTTAAGGAAGGCAGAAATGGGTCACGAAGGATCTTGAAGGCATCTAACTTTTATTCTGAATGAAACAGGAGGCCATTGGAGAGTTTTGAGCCATTGAGTGATAAGAGAGCCAGTCGTAGTGTAAGTGGTACCTTCACCTCCTGAATGTAGCCCTCATTGATCTAAGGCTTATTTTTTTTTTTTTTTATGTTTTTTCTTTCTTCTCACCTCTCCCCCTCCCTAACAAGATTGGGAAGACAGTTTTATTTTTCCTCCTTTAGTTCATTGTTCTTGAACACACCCACTACAGGAAGGAGAAGCCTGCTGAGAAACTGGGAAGTGAATGCCTCCCAAATTAACAAGTGAGTCCTAACCCTGCATCTGGGCACCTTGGGGCCTCTTACCAGAGCACACCTGGAATGTAACCCTTGAAGTTCCTTTAAAACTGCCCTGTCTGTCCCTCCTGATCAGGGAAAGTCACAGACTTTGGGATGGGAATCTAGCAAAGCAATAAACCTTTTTCCTTTTTCTCAAAACTGTGTCCTCATTATTAAATTGGCATTAGCGACAGGAACCGAGCTTTCTGTCACAATAGATTGAGAAAGATGGAGTGAAAGAAAGGAGATCAATTAAGGAGACTTTTACTATAATCCAGAGGAAACACAGTGGCTTCAGGACAGGTAGTAAGATGGTCATTCATATTCTTGGTTCACTTAGATATACAAGAATATTATGAGCATGTTAATTTTCTTTAATTAGGCTGTGAAAGATAAAAATGAATTGTGTGAATTCAGAATGACAAACTCAAGTTAAAATCATGGCTTTGTCATTTGATATTTGAATAGATTTAGACATGTCCTAGTATCTCTGAGTCTATCTACAAAAAGGAAATAATCTTCCAAGGTTATAAAGGTTAAGTGGCAAGGGCCTAGTCCATTAAAGTAGTAGCTGTTATTATTAGCTGTATTCTTGGATAAGAAATGGGGGAAATATTTGGTGAGTTAAGTTTTACTGAAGAAAAATCTAATCCTTCCTGATTAAAAAAAAAAAACAAAAAAAAAAAAAAACCTTGTTTGGATGTAAGAAGATCATGGGAGTCCTAGACATACCTCTTTTTAGATTTCTGTGTACATTTTACTGGGGAGACATGTTTTTGTATTAACAGCCATGGTATGTGGGAATACATGAACTTGTACTCTCAATGGCCCATCTGATACCTCCAGTATGTTGAAGTATAATATTGGAGAAGTATGCTGAAGCAAGCATGTAAAGCACAGCTTATTTAAAAAGGGATAATACAGACTTCTCCCAGGAGGGAGAAGGGGCCCATAGGTAGTGTTCTGGTATCCCAAGAAAGGAGGGTGTTCTGCCTCTTTTATGCATTCCAGATTTTCTTTGTTCTGCTCTCTTCCCCCTTACCTCTCTCCTTCCTGCCTGCTAGCCTAGGCCCAGTAGTTGCTTTGGTGGGATGGCCAAAAGGTGTGAAGCACATGGGCTGGAGGGGCCTGAGGAACTAAGGTGGAGTGACCCCAGCAGTCAGGGAACCTAGGGTGCATTAATTAACAACTTTTACCACTCCCTGAAAGGGAAGGACAGTTCCTGGGACTGGTTACCTTAGCAATAGGTTGGAGCAGGGGAAGGTTATCTTGGTAGGGGTGGAGGAAGGGCTTTGAAGGCGTTTACATTTCAGTCTTAGAAGTGGGCTCTCACTTCTAAGTTGGCCTTCCTCTTCCAGATCTAATCCAGATCACCTACCTATACTAACTGCCTGTCTTAATTCTGGCTCCACATATACTCTGTAGCCTTAACCCTCATTTCATAGCCATCCTTTAAACCCAAATAGAACCTTCTGTCTCCTCATCAGGAAAAGAAAAGTGAGCTCTTAGTATGGAAAAAAATGTCAATTAATATGAACCTTCCCAAGAAGCAGTTTTAGATCTCCTATAAGTTTTAACAAAGGTAAATAAAAAGAACCCTGCAATTAATACTGGTTGTTGCTGCTATATATTTTGAGTATCTCTGATATAGATATATTATTCTCAGTATTTTTAATTTTATTATTTACTTCAAATTCTGGCACATAGTAAGTCCTGGAAGGAATTTTAACCTAATTCTAAAAGGTACCATGTTGCTTAACACTAATAAAAAGGTGTTTCTTTCAGAGTGAGATAACTTGGCAATTAGATTATTATTAAACAAGAGGTAAAAAAAAGTTTGGAAGGTAAGAATAGAGATGGAAGGGGTGGGAGGGAAAGGAAGGGACAAGGGGAATAGCATGGTTGACGGAAGGAGTCCCTCATCATTATACAAAATACATGCATGAAGATGTGAATTTGGTATCAACATACCTTATATACAAGCAGAGATATGATAAATTGTGGTATAAAGGTATATTAAGAATCGTAATGCAAAAAATAATAATAATAAAAGCTCATGTATAATGGCACAATTTGGAGTGAACATACTTTATATACAGAGTTACGAAAAACTGTGTTGTGAATGGATAATTATGGTTGTAATGCATTCCACTATTGTCATGTATGTAAGAAATAAAAAAAGTAGATATATAAATAAAACAAAAAAGAATAGAGATGAAGAGAGGAGAAGGAAAGAATTAAAATAGGATAAGATTGTTAATTCTGAAATATACATTTTTCTCATAGTTGTATTTTAAAATTATTAGTCTTAAAATCACTACAGATAGTGGAAATAAGTTTTTGTACTCTGCATTTATACACACTTATTTGGTAATGATTATTAGTGCTTTCATCAGTTTAGTTATATGCAGCGTTATAGTTATTGAGTTTCATTTCTGTTTTAATTTTCCTTTAGAAAAAAGTAATGTAAGAAAAAAATCAGGGCTAAATTTAAAAGTCTTCCAGTAGTAATACAGGATGCATCTAAGGGATTAAAAAAAAAGCTTTGGGTCAATTGAATCAACACTAGGGTTTGTTTGGTTTTTTTAATAATTGTACTGAAAAGAGCATCTGGACCATTTTACAATTGATTGCATTTTAGATTTGAAATATAGTATGCTTAGTGTCTAAGAAGAATGTCAGTTTTTACTTAATTGTAATTCTGAAATAGTGGAATCTGTTTTTCACAAGTAGAGGGACTGGAACTGAGATGGTAGCTCATCAGTAGAGTACTTGCCTTGTAAGTGTGAGGCACTGGGTTCAATCCTCAGCACCGCATAAAAATAAATGAATAAAATAAAGATATTGTATCCATCTACAACCAAAAAAAAATTTTAAAGTAGAGATAGAGATGCTTCTAAATTTTCATTGAACTTCTATAAAGTAAAATTTTCAAATCTGCACTTAAAACTTTAATTTCAAAGCAGTAGCTTATTTGAGAATGTGAGGCAGGAAATTTGCTTTTTAAAAAAATCATAAGCAACATAACAAAGTGTTACATCTTAATTTCATAATCATAAATTTTAGCACAGAGACTAACTTAGCATTTTCTAAACTATTTAGACACTACTAGTTCTAATAAATGTTAATAGGTGTTTCTTGGTTAGAATTCCATCCTTAACTTGGAAAATACTTTCTAAATATATCGTTTAGGGACGTTACAGCTTAACCAGTAAAAAAACTAGCTTCTCCATTATACAGACTTGAATGACAGTCATTTAATAAATTGCTGTACTAACTGGGACAAACTAATTTTATTCAAGTTCCTTTTTTGTATAATGAAGATAATTACAGTATTCATACATTATCCATGTACAGTATTAGCCAATGTAGGGTAAAAGCTGTAAAAATGTTACATTGTTATCTGAAAAATCCTATACAGGTTAGTATACTGAAAGCTTGACAACACTCGGGAAACCTAAAGTTTTGAAATTCAGCTTGTGCTCAATATAAAATAGAAAAAACACGGGCTGGGGCTGAGGTCAGTGGCAGAGTGCTTGCCTGGCATGTGTGAGGCACTGGTTCCTTATCACCACATAAATGTAAATAAAATAAAGGCATTCTGTCCATCTACAACTACAAAAAATTTTTTTAAAAAATTGAAAAATCACAACAGTGATTAACATACAACAATGAAATGAGCACTGGGTTGTTCAAAGATATGTCTTGGCTTTAAGCAATGTTAAACTCATCACCAACCCCTAACCATAATTTTGTTTGTTAAAAATTTCTTCTATTTACTGCTTTCCTCATTTGTCTGAAAGCTTTCTGTGTGCAAAGAAAATATTTTTGTTTTCCACTATAAATACAGCACATTGGGTAAAATTAGAGACTTTAAGCAACGTTGGGGGTCTTAAGCTTACATTACTTTTAGGATCTAGCAGGTAACATTAATGGCAGACCACTAGAAGTCTGTATGCCTTGCTTTAATGCATTGACTTTCAGTTGTTTTAAACACGTAACTCCAAAATACAAAGATATTTCTCAACTGTTTGGTGACAGTTTTTAATCCTTACAGGAGAGTAGAGATCAGTACCAAGCCCTGAAGAACTTCATTAAAAGGTCAGGTCAAGAAAAAGGATCCCTGATAAAAGGCTAAGAAGTAGAAGGTGAAAGTATTCTCAGTATGTAAATTAGGAAACTAAAGCATAGAGGAGTTAACTTTACCAAGGTCAAACAGCCTGTTAGGTACTTTTTCCCATTAAGGTTTATTGGCTGTAAACACTTTTTTTAAAGAAGTATATTCTGCCAGTGCTAGTGATCATTATCTGCATATTACTAGAAAACATTAACATAAATTTAGTCTTGTATTTTTGGAAAATTGAAATGGCAGTTACTCAGCAAGTGCTGGAAAAAAAGCTATTTTCAGGGTGGCTCATTCTTAAACAGCAAAAATGGCCTTTAATATTTTAGAAAAGTTAATACACAGACATGACTAGAAGCAAATGTTTTTAGATGTTTTTAATATTAGCATTACATCTAGGAATAGAGGAAAAACTGGTTAACAGCTGTTACATTTTCTAGTCATTTCCGAGTTTTATTTTGCCAAGAACACTTGAAAATGACTTAGCAAAAGATGTTTATTTTTCTCCCTTTATGAGGCTAATGAGCAAGTCAGAATAATTAGTCTATTCAACACCTTATTTTATCATTTCTTTATTATAAGAACAGTTGAAATCCTCTCTGCTAGCCATTTCAAAGTAGACAATAAATGATTGTCAACTATAGTTAACCTTGCTGTGCTGTATGATATTAGAACTTATTCCTCCTATCCAACTGTAATTTTTTCTTATGTTATAATATTCTGCAACACTCGGGAAACTTAAACTTAAATTTGAACTTTTTGAACCTTAAATATGGTTACATAGTATTATTTTTTGCATTCAGGAACAAAGTAGATTTCATCTTCCAAAGAGATTCAGGACTTAGTCTTAACATTTCTGCCTTGTTTGGTCTTGCTCTCCACAGTAAAAGTAATTTTGTACCTCTTTCCCTTTCTTCTCCCTACCTTATTCATCTTTGAATTTTTATTTTAATAGAACTTTGTTTTTTAGAGCAGTTTTAGGTTCACAGTGAAATTGAACAGAAAGCACTCAGTGAATTGTTACTCTTTTTCCCCCTTCTCTTACACAACAGTTTTTCTCTTGGTATTCTTGGCTACTTGTGTGCCTTTGGCAAAATTAATTGCTCATCCTGGATTGTTTTGCCTTCTGAGCTAGAGCTAATAATCTTATCCAGTCCTTAGAAGACCTTCACAACAAATTGAATTGAAATATGCTTTATTCTGATTAATTCTGTTGAATGTTCCTTCCTTGTGTGTCATTTATTTAATGACTTCAAGTCTGTTATCTTTTATAGTTTCCACTATTATGATGGCAATACCCAGTTGTAGGGGAAAGTGGAAAGATTTTCAATTGACTGTTTTATTGAATTCCTGACGGCTGAGTACTTAGATGTATTTTGCTCAGTGCTATAAACATAAAATTAATAACTTAATATTTATGTCACTCTCAAACTATATAACTCACAAAAAAATTAACATGTAGTCTCATAACCCAAATTATCTAAGTACATTTGTAACATCAATCTCTATAAGTTTATTTGTATTGTTTATCATGTCCTTAGTCTGCTGAAAAATATAAAAATCATAAGGAGAGATCTAGAAAATATAATAACATTAGGTAACACACTATACCATGAATTTCTTGAGGGTAAACATTATGTATACACCCAATCTTTTATTTGTATTCCCAAAGTTTGTTCAGTGCCTGGTGAATTGACTACTATTTATCTGCTATGTGCCAAAACTCTTGTTAAATATTATGTATGGTATATCATTTTATATCTCATAATGCAATGAGATAAGTAAAATTGTCCTCATTTTATAAATGATAAAACTAAGGCTCACAAAGTTTAAATAACTTCATAGTTACCAACAATTAAGAGGGGCAGAGGGGCAAAGGATAGAATCTGCTCCTCCAAGGTCTGTGATTTCTTACTCCATTTTATTTTCACCACTCTTAAAAGAAATTCTCAAAATAGGAGGGGATGATAGTAGTATGTAACTTGTGATATTAATGATTAAATGTGATTAAATAAGTCAGTATCTGAGTGCTGAGAAAAAGACTAAAAACAAAATAGAATATATATTGGGTATAATTATTACCTAATATTTATTAGGAAATTCAGTTTATGATGTGTATTCCACTAATATTTCTTTGTTACTAACATGTTTTCTCTTTTTCATCTTTAATTTTTTTTCATGTTTCTCTTATCTAATTTTTTGGCTAAAACAAAAGTCCACTTTTACTTATTGTTACATTAATAGGCATTTCTCAGTCCTAATTCATAATCTAAAACAAGAACTTAACCTAAATTAGTATTTGCAAACCTATAACCAGGCATATAAATCAGACTTATTTTATTATTAATATATACATATATGTATATTTTAATGAAGTACTTAGATTTTAATTACATAGCATTTTATTAACATGCAGTATGTAAAAATGTAAGAATTATCAAAAAGTTGATTTTACTGTGCTTTATGTATGTTATGCTATTTTGAATTAAATGAAAGTGAGACATAAATTTGACACAACTCTTCAATAATGTGTTATTACCTTTTGTGTGAGGATAAGCTGGGGATTTTTATTGGACATATTTTAATTTTAAAACACTTCATTTATTTTACTAGTACAAACTTAAACTGAAGTAGTTTACTGTATTTAGTTTACTTAAAACTACTACAAACTTAAGTTAGTAACTAGTTGTTAAACCATCTTTTGCCAAATTGGAATTATTATCTTGTAACCCTTTTGTGGTTTTAGTTTGTTATAATAGTGGTTTGGTTTTAGAAAAACTGGCATGGCAAGTCTTTTCACTTTTGTATTTCCTACACTTTTAACCTTTAGTTAACAATAACTGAGGATTATCCAAATTTTGTCTCATTTATATTTTCTGTCAGTTTCAAAGTTTCATCATTGCCCTTTATCACATTGTTTCTTCTTAGTGGTTCTTTATGTGTGTTACTACTATGTTCATTCAGCTTATTTGTTTCTGTATTTTGAAACATGCTATTCTCTCTTCCTAAACTTACTCCTGTGTTTCCATATGCCTTGACAGATCCAAGTCCTATTATATTTAATTCAGTTTTGTGACTAAATCTTAATTTAAATTAAATCTATTTTAAATCTATTTAAAACAGTAAATAGATTCATCACTCAGTAAAATTGCATATCCTTTGTTTTTTTCCTTTAGGCTAGGATATATAACCCTATTTTTAAAATTACTGTCTCAGAAGATCCTTAACTGCTTTTATGTGATTCAGAGCAGGAGTGTCATGTTTTTCAGCAACTTGGCTAGTATTTATTTGTAGGTGACATGTTAGACCAGTTCACTCACTTATGAAAACTTATTTTATAAGCTGTATTTTTCACTAATTTTATGTTCTCAAATACTCATTATTACTTGTTTGCAATAGTAATATTTCACCAGTTGAAGTTATTTGATTATTGTTTATGTTAGGCTAAAATAGATACTAAAATTCAGAAGAGCATTTTTACTCTACATTGCTTTATATATCGTGTAAAATTTCAACTTTAAAATGATTTGAAGAACAACGTGATATTTTTTGTTCAGGTGTCACAGGTAACCAGGTGAAGTGGTGTGTGCCTATAATCCCAACTACAGGGGAGACTGAGGCAGGAGGATCACAAATTGAAGGCCAGCCTAGGCAATTTAGAGAGTGCTTTCTCAAAATAAAATATAAAAAGTAAAATACAAAAAGGGGCTGTGGGGATTGGCTCAGTGATAGAGCACCTCTGGGTTTAATCTACAGTACTTAAAAAAAAAAAATCTACAATACTAAAAAAAGGGGGGGGGCAGAATTAAAAAATGCTATTTCCATTCTAAATTTGTATACATTTTTTGTCTACACTTTTATAAACTTTTAAAGTAGGACTTTTCCAGGCTTTACTTCCCATTTATTTCATTTTCTAGCAATTTTGTTTTATAGGGTTTTATTTCACTTTTGTATTATGTCTGTTTTCAACTTAAGGACAGAGTATTTTGAGGATTAGTTTTCTTATTAAAAAAAAAATCCATATTATTGTATAGGACAGACATTGGATAATAATTTGAAATTAACAATCCTGTAGTATTTGAACATTGGCCTTTTTTTTTTTTTCTGTGTCAAAAAACTTCACAATTTTTTGAGTACTGATCATTAATAATCTGGATTAGTCCATCAATTTTTACATTATTATTATACTTTGAACTAAAAATTAATATTAAGTTAAAAAAAGCAATGCATAATGTTACTAATGATTAACCCTCTCTTGTTAATATGATATATCAGTATATGACAATTTAAACTAACTTGATGAATGAATCTCAAAATGTTTGCATATATGCAATTTTCTGTATCTACAGGATTTTTAAAAATTTCTTTGAATTTATGATAAAAGTAAACCACTTTTTTTGGCAGGGGGGTGGTGGTGCTGGGGATTGAACCCGGGGCAATGTTCATGCAAGGATGCAAGGAAAGCACTTTACCAACTGAGCTATATCCTCAGCCTCCACTTGTAATTTCTTATAAAGGACACATATATAATGACATTTACTGCTGAGTAGGCATACGATTAATGTTGATGTTTTTCTAGTTATTGTTTTTTTTTCTTTTAATATTTATTTTTCCTGCTTCACATAATCCTTCTGAAATGTACATAATTCAGTGAACATTAGAAATATCTAATATACAAAGGTTGCATGTTAGGAAGGACACTCTTAGAACACTAGAGTGATACTTATTAGTTAAGTTTATTGCTATCCTTTTTCCTTTAGTAGTCTTATGTTATAATATTCTGCAGTATTTAAATTTTTGAACCTTAAATATGATTATGTAGCATTTTTTTTCTGTATTGAGGAACAAAGTAGATTTCCTCTTCCAAAGAGCCTCAGGACTTAGTGTTCTTAACATTTCTGGCTTGTTTGGTTTTTTGTTCTCCTCAGTAAAAGTAATTTTCTACGATATTGGTCTATTACAGCAGAAAATGTTTTTCCCTCAGACTGCTTTATCAGTGTCCTATATGATAAATTTATTCCTTTCATAATGTGATTTTTCACACTGTATTTTTTTCATTTAGGATTTATATCGTTTTTTAGCAAAAAAAAAATGGCAGGCAATGATGCTGTTCTGAAGAGACTGGAACAGAAAGGCGCAGAGGCAGATCAAATCATTGAATATCTTAAGCAGCAAGTTGCTCTTCTTAAGGAGAAAACAAGTAAGAAAATTTTAAGTTTTCTAAATAATTACATACAACGAATTCATATATTGATAGAAAAATGTTTACTATGTAAGTTATTACTTAATCATCTGGTGACTTAGATTCCTTAATGTTTTGGTAGAGTATAATAATATTCTAAACTTAAGATATTAGAATCTATTTGGTAAATATGCTACATGCAAAGAATTCTTAATTGCTAAGGGTAATGTGATAATAGAAATTTCAAAATCTTCTGCTATCACTAATTGAAATAAATTTTTTTCCCATATAAAACTGAAAATGGCTTACCAAATCCTGTATTTACTCTCAAATTTTTCTCCCTTTATTAATATTTTTGCCTAATTCTAAAATGTTCTGAGCTGGGCATGTGACACGGTGGTAGAGAGTGCTAATATTTCTTTCCACTAGTGAAATGAAGAGGTTGGAAATGACCATTGCATATGTATGTTAGAACAAATGTTATAAAAGTGATTTTTTTTCCTAAGGGTGGCACTTTCTGAGCACCTTGGCTAGCATTTCAGTTTTGATAATTTAAAAGAATAGAAGAACCACTCTACTTATTCTGCACCTTCATAGCCTGTGGTGGTTCTCTGTCCCATTGACTATTTTATAATAACTATTTTGCAAAATCTCTTTTAATATTGTACTATTTCTTAGGTAAAGTAGCTCTTCTCTCCATCCATGAATTTAGGCAACTATTACATTCAGGGAAAGGAAAACAATACATCTATATTTAATGTTTGCAAACTTTTTCCTTGTTATTTCTCCTTAAACAATATATCAGCTATGCACGTAGCATTTGGAATGTATTAGGTGTTATAAGTAATTTAGAGATGATTTAAAATATACACGAGGAGTGTAGGTTATATGCAAATATAACCTACATTTTATACATTATTTAAAGTACATTTTATTTAAAGCATATTAGCACCCAAAGATTTTGGTATCTGTGAGGTCCTAGAACAAATTCCCACACATACAAAAAAGAATGAATGCATCATGTTGTTTTAGGAAATAGTAAACTGGCATAATGGAACTGATCCTAACCAGTACTAACTATGCTCTTTTCAAATAGCATTCTAAAGAAAACTTTGAAAAAAAAACATTTTAACTGAACTTCCTTGATCTTAGTTTTGCAGGCAACATTGAGAGAAGAGAAGAAACTTCGAGTTGAAAATGCTAAACTAAAGAAAGAAATTGAAGAACTGAAACTAGAGCTGATTCAAGCAGAAATTCAAAATGGAGGTGATTAACTGTAGAAATGATAGATGGGTTTGATTTGTAATAAATCAAAAAAGTAGTTTGAATTAAGGTGCTAAATTCAGTTTAATGGTTAAATATGAAGTAGGAATCCACATTACTAAAGAAAGCAGTATCATCCAAAATACTTAAATGCCTCAGATAAATGGTGTGAATATTGACCAGAATCTAGGCCATATAGAATCCCTCAAGAGATCGCATTTTTCTGTGTTATATATAATGGTGCTGGGGATTGAACTCAGGGGCACTTGACCACTGAACCACTTCTCCATCCCTGTTTTGTATTTTATTTAGAGACAGGGTTTCACTGACCGAGTTGCTTAGGGCCTCACTAAGTTGTTGAGGCTGGCTTTGAACTCAGGATCCTTCTGCCTCAGCCTCCCCAGCCACTGGGATTACAGGCATGCACTACCACACCTGGCCTCAGCCAATACCAATCATTTCTATGTTAGAAGACACCACATTACTTCTTTACAATTCAGTACTAAAAAGCAACTTTTTAAAGAAAAAAGTTCTTAAGCAATGTTTTGAGATGTTAAAAATACTTTAAGCCAGGCCTGGTGGTTCATGCCTATAACCCCAGAGGCTCAAGAGGCTGAGGCAGGAGAATCACAAGTTCAAAGCCAGCCTCAGCAATGGCAAGGCGCTAAGCCACTCAGTGAGATCCTGTCTCTAAATAAAATACAAAATGGGGCTGGGAATGTGGCTCAGTAGCCCAGTGCCCCTGAGTTTAGTACCCTCCCCCATCCTCTTACCCCACCCCCACACCTGCCAAAAAAAAAAAAAACCCTTTCCAGCTGGGCATGATGGCATATGCCTATAACCCTAGCTACTAAAGAAGCTGAGACAGGAATCACAAGTTCAAGGACGGTCTCAGCAATTTAGAGGATTTTTCAAAATAAAAAAGGACAAGAATATAGATTGGTGGTAGAATGAATGCCCCTGGTGGGTTCAATGCCCAGTACTGCAAAAACAAATTTTAAAAATCACCTTTCCATTTGTTTATTGTAAAAGAAAAGCTAAATTTAAAACTTGCCATCTTGCTAGATGTTAAGAATGCAGTACTTAGAAACAGACTGCCTGGATACACATTCTTATTCCTGTATCACTGTGTGATGGGTCATTTCTTAACTTTTGGATAATGGGATTTAGCATATGTAAAGCAGTAACATGAAGAGATTCTATTTCGTAGGGAACTTCATGTGAAGCATTTTGAAAGATTTTTAGGACACAATATGTCTGTGACAAATACTATTATTGTTACCTGACATTTTCTTACTTTAATATTGAGTAATCAAATGGAAATTATACATTTATTGTTATCTCAGTAATGGTTAAAATAATTTTAATCTCTTGATAATGTTTCTACTTTCTCAAATAATAGATATTTTGATAGTCATACACTGAATTTTTCTTTTGTAAAAAGTTCCTATTTGTGATTCACAATTCCCTCCGTTTTTTTGTTTTTGATTTTTGTTGTTTTTATTTTTTAAATTTTCAGCTGTAGATGGATACAGTACCTTTATTTTATTTTATTATTATTATTTTGTGTGTTTGTGTGTGTGTGTTCACGCGCGCGCTGAGGATCAAACCCAGTGCCTTCCACATGTGAGGCAAGCACTCTACCACTGAGCTACAACCTCACCCCAATTCCCTGGTTTTTATCTTGTTGATTTAATATAAATTATGTTATCTCTTTTATTTTATCAGTGAAGCAAATACCATTTCCATCTGGTACCACACTACAAGCTAATTCCATGATTTCTGAAAATGTGATACAGTCTTCACCAATAACAACTATATCTTCTGATACTAAAGAACAGATAAAAGGAGGAGGGGAAGAAAAGAAGGTGAAAGAGAAAACTGAAAAAAAAGGTATTTTTGACCATTAATCTATTTGACTCTTGGCTAGTTATCAAATAATATTAACATTTTTTATAATAATTATAATAGTTTCAAAACAAAGCTCAAACTTTTATATGACTTTGAGTAAAATTAGTAGTGCGATAATATTGGAACATGGAAACTGAGTCCTAAAGATATAAAGTTAGAGATGAAGGGTAGGAACCCATACATAGCTTTGTGTGACTAAATTTTGGTGTGCGTTCAGGACTTACTTAAAAAAAAAAAAAAATCACAGGTAGAAAGTATAGAACAAATTAAGATTAGAAACGAATGTCCATTTGAAGCAAACCATCTGAACTAAGGTATTAGGGGTACTAAGTTTTCAGGAGCATATAAAAAGTGACATGGTAATTAGGTCACATCCAAGTATGCAACTACACTTAAAATCTTGCAGTCAACACTTTTTTAGAGAGAGAGAGAATTTTTTAATATTTATTTTTCAGTTTTTTCGGTGAACACAACATCTTTATTTTATTTTTATGTGTGGTGCTGAGGATTGAACCCAGCGCCCCGCGCATGCCAGGCAAGCGGATTAACGCTTGAGCCACATCCCCAGCCCCTACAGTCAACCCTTTTTTTCAATCACCGAATATATCTAGAACACAGCTCCATTCTTTAATTTTGATAGGTAGTATAATATTTCATCTGAACTAATATTAAAGCCTCTTTGCCTTGCTGCTGAAAGTATTTTTCTAAACATAAATCTGACTTCCTTTTAACTACTCTTCTTTTCTTCTTACTAGATTTTATTTCACCAGATTTTTTATTTGCATGCTTGTCATTATACATATACTCGTTTACAGTTTTTTTTTTTTTTTTAAACAAATAGCTAAGGGACTTGTGAACTAATCTAAGCCAATTTAGTATTCAGTACCTGTATTTTCCTTTTGGCATACATCAATAGCCTATGTTAGAAGTAAGTAGGAGCTCTACATCTTTTACAACTTCACCTCTAGATGAAATGTTGCAATGAAGCAAATCAGCCTAATTCTTTTACGTTATAACATGAATTAAGAAGTAGACACAGAATAATATATCCGGTTCTTATATGTTTTGTGAAGTCCATACTCTGTTCTTTAAGGATGATGCAGTGTTTTTCTAAAGATAGGATTAAACAGTCTTCTAATCACATGTGGCTACAAAGGGGAAGGAAAAAACAAGACCAAATGGAGCTCTAAGTTTAGAATACTTCAAATCAATGGAATTTTCAATGGTGATGGAAATGCTGTACCTACATTGTCCAACATGATAGGCAAAGTGGACATGTGACTTTCTAATATTTAAAATGTGGTTAGTGTGACTAAAGAACTGAATTTCTAGTTTTAAGTGTTTTGAATTTAAATGTGAACAACCATATGTGACTGGCAGCTATTACCTTGGACAGTGCTGGTTGTGAAAGTTAGTTCTGTAAGTTTAGCTAGTAGGATTGCCACATTCCAATATTTCTGCTCATACAAGGGCAATACTGCCTATACATTTTTTACCAGAATACTACATACATCTCTTGAGCATTTTGTCAATGAAACATTTTGAAATTTCTTATGATAGCTTAAAACCCTTGTGGTATATAGTTTAATGTTTGTAATAACTGCTGGAATATGGATTACTGATGAAGATATTTCCAATGCCTATGAAACAAAGTTTAAAATGGTTTATGGATAGATATACTATACTGCATTACTGCAGTATTTTAATGTTAAATGTATACATCTTATCACAATGCTAATTATTAGGTTTTTTGATGCATTTTTAAAATAATTCTGTATTTCTGTATTATTTTTACCATTACAAAAATTTTTGCTAATTTGTTATATGGAAATGGTGGGATTTTTTTTTTTTAAGTTTCCTAACAAAATTATAGTCCTATCTCCTATTTCATAAACTACCTTTGTAGAAATTGTCCGTGTCTTTTCACAGAAGCTACAATTCCTGTTTCATGCAGAATTATGTTCTTTATTCTTCTGTATTTCTTTATGTATGTGACATTTATCACATAATCATTACACAGTAGTACCCCATTACCCATAGGGAGTACATTTCAAGACCATCAGTGGATTTCTAAAACTGAAAATAGTACAGAACTTTATTCTGTTTTTTTTTTTTTCCCTACACTTATGATAAACTTTAATTTATAAATTAGGCACAGTAAGAGAACTATAACTTATAAGAAAATGGGAAATTATAGCAATATTTTTAGATAAAATTGCCAACATCAATACCATTGCACTTTAGACCTATTAATAGATAATATGGGAGTTATTTGAAAACAAGCACTACAATACCTCAGTAGACAGATAACAAAGACAGGTACTAAGTGAGTAATAGGTAAAATATATAGCATGGATATACTGAGCAAATGAATGATTCACCCTCTATGCAAGGTGGGGTGAGGTGGTGAGTGCCTTGACAGCATAGGCCATTTACCTTACTATTTCAAATGCTTTGGTACTATATTTATTGTTTTAATAAATGCTTGTTGAAATATTAAACAAAGGCATAGTTGAGGATGAATGATTCCAAGCAACAGTAGCTTGTCTCTACCCTGCAAGTTAGAAGGTAAATAACTTTTTATTTGTATTTTACATTCTTCGTAACAAAAGCTAATTATAGACTTAAAAACTGCCTATAGACTTAAAACCTTCGCCGATTGCATTTTGACTCTGGTTAAAGTAATCATAATTTAAATTTTCAACATATCAATAAAAATAGGATTATTAAAGCATAATCAGAATTAAATATAATATCAGATAGTTGTTCTGCATAAACTTAAAGTCCTCATAAATTTAGAGGAAAATCATAAGAAATAAAGAAATTCACAGTATATTTATTCTTCTATATAATTGACAAGATAAACATTTTATCAGTGAAATTGTATTTTACTATAGTTTATTTTACATTTGTCTACTAATATTGATTTTTCTAAATAAAGTATTTTTCACCTTTCAAAAGCTCCCGTAAAAATTTTTGAGGGATTTTCTATAACCCTGTTTTAGGGAAAGGCAAACTTTTTCTATAGAAGTCCACATAGTAAATATGTTAGGCTTTAGAGGCCACAAAGTCTATCACAACTACTCAACTCTGCCTTAGTGCAAATACTCTGTAGCCAAAATATAAATGAGTAAATATGGGTTGTATTCCAGTAAAACTTTATTTATAAATATAGACAGCATGCAGATTAGTGCAATGAGCTCTAGTTGGCTAAACTCTCCTCTGTGTCTTTAACTTGAAATATAGGCAGTTCTTCAGAGAAATAGCTAAAATAGTGGTCATGATTTTATGACTTTATAATTCTTCACTTTGTAAGAAATAAAAGATAAATATTCTTTTCTTTTTCCTTTTTAAGCTCATCAGTATTGACACTGTAGATTTTTCATAGTGTATTTTTGGTTTATGTCTTGTTATTTACCCATTCTTTTTAGGAGAGAAGAAGGAGAAAAAACAACAATCATTAGCAGGAAGTGTTGACTCTAAGCCAATAGATGTTTCCCGTCTGGATCTTCGAATTGGTTGCATCATTACTGCCAAAAAACACCCTGATGCAGATTCTTTGTATGTAGAAGAAGTAGATGTTGGAGAAACAGCCCCAAGAACAGTTGTCAGTGGCCTGGTGAATCATGTTCCTCTTGAACAGGTAATCTGTACAACTAAATTACCATTTCTTATATGTGTCATTTTTATTCCCTCTTTCTCAGTGTCCTTCCATTATAATTTTATATCTGATGGTCATATAACATGATACCAATATTGATTAATCCAAATGATTCAAATGTGATAAATTCCGCAGAATGTATAAAACCACAAAAAAATTGACAAGCATCTATTAATTAAGATAGAATTTATGAGCTGGATTACATGCCTGTAATCCAGGAAACTTGGGAGACTGAGGCAGGAAGATTGCAAGTTCAATCCAGTCTCAGTGACTTAGTGAGCCCTTGTCTGAGCAAATCAAAAGGGCTGGAGATGTGGCTTCATCCATTAAAGGAATCCATTAAATTTTCAAATGAGTCTCCATGATCCCCTCTCCTTTTTTTTTAAATCTTCGAGTATTTACTGCGTTATAAGGAAATTATAGTTGTCCTTTCGCTTTTAGATTTGTGCTTTCTAGTTTTATAAGTGACTTACGAGATCAAAAAATGATTCCATTATGGAATAATGATGAAAATATTGATGAGGATTTCTGTTGTTTTTAAAGTTCTTAATATGTAATCTTTTTACACATGCTATTTTATTTGCTATCATGTACAATTCTCTATTTAGGGAATGCAGTCAACTTGTGCACATAAGCATGTGCTCACTCATTTGACTCCAAGGCTGAAGTGTCCTTAATATCTATATGGGTCACCTTTCCTGTTCACCATTCAAGATGGGGCATAGTCAGTCTTGAGGCTTCTGTCTGCAGGACATGGGCAGAAATTAGTGCCTGGAGCAGGGACCCCAATCACAAGGAATTCAGAATGAAAAATTGCAGGTGGGTTCTTGGCCCTCTCTCATAGAAAACAATGTGGAACAGTTTGAAGAGAGAAAGAGGAGGGGGGAATCTTTCAGATAGGATAACCTTAAGCATGGGGAATTCTCTCTCTTCAGAGAGCAAAATTTATCTAACTATTCTTAAAACTATCATTAAACAAAGAGGAAAGTCTGTCAAGTGAGCTCAGCTTGCCCAGTTCCTAGAAGTGATTAAGGAAGTTTGTCCTTGGTTCCCTGAAAAAGAATCTCTTGATTTGCATATTTGGGAAAGACTTTGCGAAGAAATGCCTGCTGGTTGTATTTCAGACTGTACCTGAGAGCTCAAGTGAAAATGTAGAAAGAATGTGGACTTTGATAGAGACATGCTTGTATTCAGATCAAGATAGTGAAGTGTGGACTGCTGAGGAATTGATTGCTAACCTCAGAAAAACCATTAGGAGTTTCAGAGGCAGTCAGCAGGCCTGCCTGCCTTGCAGGACTTCCTTATATGCTGAGAATGCAGACTGGGAAAGGGCAGGAGATCTTGGCCTGGAGGCAGAGCCTGAGCCCACTCAGAAGAAGAGACACCAGAGAATGAAGAATGGGAATGGAAGACAGAGGAGGACTCTGAGTCTGAGGGGGATGTACCTCCAGAGCTTTGTAATTTGAATATGAATCTTCCTGCTCCAGTAATTCACCCAGTCCCTCAGGGGACATTAAAGGTCAAGGTCCCTAAACAGCTAGATCCACAGTATCCAGGGCAGCAGAGAGCTCTTGTGCCTGTCCCTTTTAAAATAGTGAAAGAGTTAAAGTCCGCTTACTCCACTTATGGACCGAACTCACCATTTGTACAAAGCTTGATAGAATCCCTGTGTAATGAGGCCCTGCCACCTAGTGATTGTCTCTTGCTGGATAAAACCTGCCTTTCTGGGTTTGAATATTTGTTATGGAAATCTAATTGGACAGATTTTTGCTCCAAGCAGGCAGAGATTAATAGAAAGCATGGAATTAACATTACTTTAGATATGCTAACTGTAATAGGACATTCACTGATTTGGGGCAAGAATTAAATTGTGATTTGCATACTTATGCACAGATAAGTGTGTGTGCAAGAAAGGCATGGAGAGAGTTACCTACTAAGGGAGAGAAAACCTTGAATTTTAGCCAAATTCTGCAGAGACCAGATGAAAGTTTCTCTGACTTTGTGGTGCGTTTATATCAAGCAGCAAACCAAATGATTAGTGAACCCAGTGCCTCTGAGATTTTTTACTTAAACATCTGGCTTTTGAAAAATGCTAATAAAGTTTGCTAAAAGGTAATCAAACAATATCAGAGGATATCAGACTACATCCGTCTCTGTTCTCATATTGGACCGGCATACATGCAAGGTGTAGCAATGGCGTCTGCCATAAAACAAGTTTTTCAACCTCCTTTAAAGGAGGTCAGTTCTAAGAGGCGATGTTTTAATTGTGGCAGAAAGGGACCCTTGGCTAGAGATTGTAAACTGCCCCAAGGACAAATAAATGTGCCAGGAGTTTGTCCACAGTGCCTTAGAGGATGCCATTGGGTGCAGGAATGTCGCTCCCAAAGAGGCATAAATGAGCCACTTCTTCCTATGCAGCAGGGAAACTGGAAGCAGTACTGAGCCCCAGCCCCACCAAATGATGAGATTATCATGTTTCTCTCCGGAGCAGTCATTAGCAATGGCTCAACAATCACTCTCTCTAGCCCAGCCTCCTTATGAGTAGGCCTAGTCTCGCAGGACATTTTCCACTTGGCAACAAGGAGTCTGGGCCTCTACCCGACCTCAGAATTCATACTGACTCCAGATTGGGTCCACAAATCATCCTTAGGGGAATTTATGGACCTCTACAACCAGATGCCATAGGTTTAATATTGGGTTAGAGAAATTTAACTCCAGAAGGAATTCACGTCCTACTATCAGATATTCTTGACGTAAATTTTAATGGAGAGGTTAAAGCTGTTGCTCAAACAAATTCCATTATCCAGAGGATACCATAGCACAACTTGTGTTTTGCCTGATTATTCTGCAGAGGAGGCTTTATCAAACAGATCCCAGGAATGTCAGATTTCCACAGATAGAGCATACAGGGCTCAATTAATTATGCAAGAGCACCCTCTATTGGATCTTAAAATTAATTGCAAAATTTTCAAGGGAATTATTGATACTGGATCAGATGTTTCTGTGATTTCTACCAAAATTTGACCGTGCAAGTGGGCCTTACACAAAGCATCTGCTAATTTAGAAGGCATTGTCAAATTTCTTAGCCTGCTCAAAGTGCTCTGTAACATCGGAGGGAAGATAAAGATGGCAATATGGGACTCTTAGCCTTATGTCCTTGATACTTTGCCAGTAAACTTATGGGTGCAAAATATTTTGAGCAGCCTGGGAGTCTTGTTGATAACCCTCATTCTATGGTGACATCCCAAATGCCTAATCAAAGATCTATCTCCAGTAAAGATTGAGAATGAATCTACAAGAAAGATATTCACCTATGCCTCAGTCCTGTCAGCAAAGACAATATGGGTTAATTAATACATCTAATTAGCCTTTTTAATGGGGGGCATTGATCTCTTCCCTGGCTCAGAAAACAGCAGAAAAATTAATAAGCTGTCTGATAATCCTGTCTAGGTTGATCAGTGGCTTCTTACAGGGGAACAACTTCAAGCTGGTCGTATTGAGCCTACTCTTAACCCTTGGAACACTCCAATATTTGTAGTTAAAAAAAAAAAAAAAGCAAAATGGAGATTGTTATAAGGTCTCAGAGCCATTAGTTGAACTATGGAATCAATGGGGATTTATAATCTGGGCTTCCCTCTCCTATAGCTTGATTATCAATTAATAGTAATAGATTTAAAAGATTGTTTTTTCACTATACCATTACATCCAGGTGATTGTAAGAGATTTGCTTTTAACATCCCAGCTATAAATTTCAAGGAACTGGTAAAGAGATTTTGCCGAAAGTCTTACCTCAAAGTATGGTCAATAGCCCCACATTATGTCAGACATTTTTAGCAAAAGCCATTGTTCTAATATGAGAACAATCCCCTGATGCATATATAATCCATTATATGGATGATATTCTTTTGGCTCATGCTAATTCAGATATGCTTTTAAAATTTTTTGATCAATTAGAAACCTCACTTATTGCAATGGGTTTATGCATAGCACCTGAGAAGGTGCAAAGAAGCCTTCTCCTTTTCAATGTCTGGACAACTTAATTGAAGAATGCATCATTCATCTGCAAAACCTACAGATCAGAGCTGATGATTTACATACTCTTAATGACTTTCAGAAATTACTGGGTGATATTAACTGACTGTGGCTAAGTTTAACATTATCCCTTGCAGATTTGAGTACTTTATTTCAAATTTTACAGAGGGATCCTTCTCCAACATCTCACCAACTTACAGCAGAGGCAAGGGCTGCCTTGACAAAAGTTGAAACTGATATTAAGACTGCACAGCTTACTAGGATTAATCCACAAGAACCTATATATTTATTAACATTTCCCACTATTCATACCTCTACAGGAACATTCTGGCAGTAATTGAGAGTTACTGAATGGTTTCACCTAGCTCACTGTCCTCAAAATTTTTTAACTCCATTTCACAATTTTGTTGTTCAGTTAGTCATTAAAGGTAGGACACAAGACTTAGAATTGTTTGGGTCAGAGCCTTCTATTATTGTAACCCCTTTTACACCCAACAACATAGTTGGCATTGCTAATCTTCCAATATTTGGCAAGTAGGTTTTGCGAATTTTCCTGGTCAAGTAGAAAGTCATTACCCTCATGATAAGGTTGTTCAGTTTGCTCTTGTAACTTTGTTTATTTTTCTAAAAACTGTACATGCTTAGCCAATAACCAGAGTAGTGACAGTGTTTATGAGTGGCTCAAGCTCAGGAAAGGCAGGTTTCTATAGCTATGCTCATACTGAGATAATACAGACATATACTTCTGCACAACAAGCAAAGCTTCAAGCTCTTCATTTGTGTTTTACTTCATTTTATTAATGAGCCATCACTATTTATAGTGATAGTTCATGTACTCTTATTTTTATGTGGTGCTGAGGATCGAACCCAGTGCCTCACGCATGCTAGGTAAACATTCTTCCACTGAGCCACAACCCCAGCCCCGTAGTTCATATACTCTTGAGGTTACTGAACATATTGAAACAGCTACTATTGGAAGTACACCATGAAAAGAGTTACTTCATTTGTTCTATACTTTATAAGGCAGTTCAAATGCATCAGTATCCTTGTTTCATTGGTCATATTCCCGTCTTCCAGGTCCTTTGGCATCAGGTAAAGATTGACCATCTTGTTAATGTTTGCCCACAAATGTCTTTATACAGTTGTGCACAAGCTATGGTCAGCTGACCCCAGTACAATAAGCCCTAGGAGATTGCCTATTTACATTCCTGTCCCACCCTAATAGATCATCCGACCCCAATACAGTGAACCCCAGGAATTACCCTCTTGTCCCATTCTCAACAGAGCCTTTATAACCCAGACCCTTGCTTCATCCTGCCTCCATTTTCTGTCTCACAAATGAGCCTTGCCAGGTGTTCAACCCATTGACTCCACTGCTGAATACTGAATAAAGAAAAGCTTGCTGCTCTGAGGTTTGCTTCCCAGTTGCCCGCCTTTGTCGTGTGTGAGTCATTTGTGGTAACATTTGGTTCCCTGACTAGGAACTGGAGTAAGGTGAAATTGACCCTTTCCCTATCCCCTGCCAAACCCTTCCCTTTCCCTTAAGTTGAATGACCAATGGGACCTGGGAAGTGACTGTCAAGCAACCAGCACCCCCAAGGATCTCTGAGGTTGGGGGAATCCCCAGCCATGACTCCTGCAGCTACAGCTGAACCTCTTAACTGACTGCATTTTCCCCACCCCGTAAAACAGCTAAATCTCTTAACTGACTGCATTTCCCCCACCCCGTAGAACATAGGTCCTTACACTCTCTGCTGTTCACTTTATTTGGAAAAAATTTGGTACGTGAAACAGGAAAGACTGAAAGCAACTGAAGGTGTCTAGCTGGGGCAACTCCCTAGTGTTGCACAAAGGCTTTGAGTCTAAAACCTGACCCCAACAGCCCTTAGGAGTACCAAATATTAGCCACTGTATGGGAGAAGTTTGGTATGAGAGACAAATGTGAAGGTCTTGGGTCTGAAATCTGACTCTGGCAGATATACCAGATATCAACCATCTACTAAACTTTTTACACTTAATACAATATGGAGAGTAAAAGGATTTGTACTAAACACTTTGTTAACATTAAAGGAGGCCTTCTTCTACTCCCCGCCCCCCCACCTTCCTGACCCTTGCATACCTTTCAAGCCTCTGGATCAGGCCCCTCCTTGCCATTTTGTTTCTGCATCCCTCACTAGACTTCTCATCTCTCTGAAGAGGTAAGAACCTGTTCCTCCAGTTTCTACCAGTTGATACCCCTGCATTTTGTCTAACTGGGACCCCCAAGGGCCCCTCACCATCAAGATTAGGGTAATGATGTTTCTCCAGTCCCCAGTGGGAAAATTCCAGTCTGGGACTGGCACACTAGTAACATAAGAGTGCAGTGTGTTTGTTAAAAGCATCTGGTTAGTTTGCAAAGTTAATATGCTAACTGTTAAATATAACATCAGGTACTCTTTTTGAATTCCATAGGGTGATATGCTTGAACATTGTTTATAATTTCATGAATTGGTAAACAAGCAAATGCAATACTATATACACAGGGTCAACAGATAGGAAAGAGAAATTAGAAAGTTCTAGGTATGGAAATATATTTAGTGGAAAAAAACGATTCTGAATAAGAAAGTCTTTGTGTGATGAAATAAACAACTGAGGGTCTGTGTAAGTAAACGGCAAAAGTTGAAAAGGTGGAATAATCAGTTAAAGCTATTTAGGGTTTTCCCCTAAGGTCAGATACTAATGTTCTTATATCTTTGTTAACCTGACAAGGAATTGAGATCTATACAACACTGGTACACAACAACAACCATTATTTTCAAGCATTACAGTCTTAACTTTTCTTTTAAAAGCTAAACTTGGTTCATATAAAAACATCAGTATAGCATACTAAATATGTTCATATCTCCCACATATATAAGTCTTTAAAGCAGGAGGGTTAAAAACATTTTTACCAAACGATGTTTTCCAAACATCATTGTAATGGTAATTTTAGACTTATAAGAATAGCAAATTTAATTGGGTATTATTGTCATGTTCTGTAACTAAAGCTTACTTTACTTTTTACACTGGGGTAAAAATGTAAATGTATTTCTAAAAGATGAGAGTCTCATCTGTTTAAAGGTTTATATTGTGAAACATGAAAGCATTTTTTCACTTTTCCACACAAAAGGAAAGTTAAATACTCTCTTAGCCTTTCTTTAATTCATATTTTAAATGTAATATTATACTGTGTTAGCTATCCATATAGACTCAAGTGACAGTATATGTAAACTTTGTAAAATGATATTTAAGAGGCAAAAATCAGCTTCAGAATTAGAACACTGTGCCTAAAATTTGACAGGAGCCCCACTTTACCTGAGATAAGACTCTGCTTCCCACCTTACTGCATGTTAGAATGGCTCCAAAATAAGCCAGACTTCAGCTCATTTAAAGTTGTATTCAAAAGATTCATTTTTGTTGTAAAGATCATTGTGATCTCAGAGGATATAATGTATAACTCAGCCAAAATTCAAGATAGGTATTATACAAACTGAATATATTTTTTACTCTTGTTTATTTCATTTTGTATTTTCCTTGTAAAACTCTGTAACTAGCTGTTGCCTATTAATGTTTTTCAGAAATACTGCTTCAAGAACAAACAACCTGGGTTAGTCTGAGTTAATACACCATCAGATAGAGAGGATATAAGGCTAACTTCCAGTATTAATGCAGGCTCCAATTAAATATAAAGGGTAAAGAATAAAAAAATAAGACTAATTTATAGACATTAAAGTTTAAAGCCCAGTACTCTTAACTTTAAGACTGGTGAGACTGGTTTGCTAGATATTTAAGACCAAGGCCAAATAAACAAGGGGGCCAAGAAAACCAGTATTTGGCTCCTGGTCCCTAAGTCTGCCTGAATCCAGGGAATGGGGGAACTTTTTTTTTTTTTTAAAGAGAGAATTTTTAATATTTCATATTTTAGTTTTCGGCAGACACAACATCTTTGTTTGTATGTGGTGCTGAGGATTGAACCCGGGCCGCACGCATGCCAGGCGAGCGCGCTACCGCTTGAGCCACATCCCCAGCCCCAAGTTCGTAGGTTTTTGGGGGTTTTTTTTATGTTTATGCAAGGCTTCCTAATAACAAGAGTTGAGACACACAGAGACAAAGATACATCCACAAAAGTAAGGTATTTACTTTTAAAAAAATATTTTTTTAATCAGCGATGGACCTTTATTTTATTTATTTATTTAGATGTGGTGCTGAGAATCGAGCCCAGTGCCTCACACATACCAGGCAAGTGCTGTACCACTGAGCCACAACCCCTGATATTTAATAGGTATGCCTTAGAGTATTCTAGATATTGTTATTCTAAATTTATGTACATCTTTTGTCACCGATTTATGTTTCACACAGATGCAAAATCGGATGGTGATTTTACTTTGTAACCTGAAACCTGCAAAGATGAGGGGAGTACTATCTCAAGCAATGGTGATGTGTGCTAGTTCACCAGAGAAAGTTGAAATTTTGGATCCTCCTAATGGATCTGTTCCGGGAGACAGAATTACTTTTGATCCTTTCCCTGGTAAGTATTTACTGATAATTAAAATAGTTTGGGAATCAGTTTTCAAGTGATGTTTATAATATTTGGAGTTAAAATCAGCCTCATATATGAATCATAAGGCTTAGAATTAAATGATCATTATTAAATGTTATTGAGTGAGATGTTGAGCAAAACCATATAACCATCCTCCGCTCCATGAAGACACACATCATATAAAACACAACACAGGAATTTCATCCTAGGTAAATACTAATATTAATGCCTATGTAGCAAAAGGGTATGACATAAAGAACAAATTAATATCCTACAAAATCATTTAAGCTGTAGACTGCCTTAGACTACAACATAAAAAAACAAAGAGATGGAAAGTTCAGGCATGGGGGAAAGATATCTAACTCAAAATTCATCTGACTTACTTGCATGTTCTTTTACTTGACTTCAGAGTATAGAGAAAATTTAAATTAAAATTCAATTATTTAATAATCTAAAAGAAAGTTTCATTTTATATTGTTCATTTTCTCCTATGGAAATGTTCCTGAGACAAATGAAACTTCAAATGTGTGAGAACATTTCTTCAAATAGGTCTTTGAAGCAGAAGAGAAAGAATGGTTGGCAGATGTTAACTGTTTGACAAAATATTAGAATGTGAAGAAGTTTTAACATTGAAATAGTTTGAAAATATGGATTATTTTCCTTAAAATTCACCTCCCCTCCTAATGAAATGTAGACTATCTAAAAAAGTATTTTTTTACAAGTCCCTATGATTGAATGCATAAGTTGATTGAATGCATAAGTATGTCTTGAACCTTGGTAGATAAGAACATAATGGCTTAAGTTCTAAGAACCTTTTTTTGAGAAAAATCCCTGTCTGAATGATTTCTCAAAGAAACCGATAGTTTTATATTCTAAGAGCATATGATCACCACTATTCCCACACAATCCAAACACTTCCCCAATCTTTTACTTTGGGCCAAACTCTCACATTTATATTTAATTAACCTAAAGTTCAGTTTAAAAGTCTGACTAAATTTGAATAGAATGAGAATCAATTTTTTTCTTTTAAGAATTAGAATGCATTGAAAAAAAAACAAAAATAAGTGAATCCTAATTTACCTTTCCAGATTAATATTTGCCTTACTTTTTATTAAAGTAAAATTTGGAAACTGAAGGCCGGTGAAACTTGGTTAAGGTTTTAGAGTTAGCCAAGAATCAAGCCATAGATGTGACCAGATCTCTAATACTGTAGTATTTTTGTCTGTTCATTGTTGCTTCCTGTTAATTAATATGAACTATTTAATTAATAAAGGCTTGTGGTTCTTTCACTATAATAACTCTCATTCACTTATAAAGCTAAAGGAAAAATATTTGAGCATTTCAAATTAGTTTTTATTGTATGAATGTTACTATTGAATAAAGTGAAGTATTTTCTTGAGTTAACCTATGACTCAGCATAAGAAATACTTATAGCTCAGCACAGTTTTCTTGCCTTTACTATATTCTTGAATCTTTCAATCCGTTTAGCCATTTATAAGATATATTTCATTGTTCCACAGACTAGTATTTCTTTCCAGTTCTCCTTTATGCCTTAAGCATTTGAATATATGGGGAAGGTTCTTACTTATAATGTGAAACAAAAGATAACCTAGTTTTAAAACAATGCATGAGATCTAACACTTATCTGAGTTGAATGGTATCAAATAATTGATAAAATTTGAGACATGAGTTCTGTGAGTACTCCTTAGATTCCATACCAAATACTGCTTCTATAGCAGTAAATCTGAAAAGAAATAACAGTTTGATATTGTACAACAAAGAGTTGATCTTACAGTGTTTATTCTGTTTTCTTTCCTGGAAAAAAACATGATTTATCAGTGCTTTATTTCTTAGTATCTGTTTTACATTATAAAGCTTAAGGTGCCTGCTGGTACCCTTTGATAGTACTTTGAGATGCTTAGTGTCTGAAGATTGACATTTTATTATGTTTATTAAGTGTGTTAAAAAAAATTACAGTTTGGGTTCAGGCCTTTGAACTGCTGTTTGGCCTTGAAAAATGTTTAACACTTTCCTATTTTTTTCCAAATAGAAAGCCAAAAAAACTCATAGCATTTAGAAGACACCAAGTAATATGTTTATAACAACAGCTAAAACCTTTCCCACCAACCCAACACTTTTTAAATTCTTAAATGTGGAAAGCTATAAATTTTAGTGTTTAAATATGTTAATTGGTCCCAAAAGCCCCAAGCAGAAATAACCTGAAATCAATACTACACTAAGAGCAGCTCTTTCTGAAAATTAGTTCATGGTCTAATAAATGAGAATTTACATTAGGACATTTTAACTTCCATGGTCATATTTATTTCCATAGATATTGAATCTTACTTATAATATAAATTAACATTTTATCACAAAGCATAGGCTTTAGCTTTTAAATAGATTTATTTTTAGATAAAGACAAAATTCTTTCTCTCTAAAATCCATTTCAGAAAGATTTCTTTCCCACTATTCCCCTACTATTCTTCCAAAACTGCTCTAGTTTAGATCACCAGTTTCTCCCTGAAGCTAAGTGACTAGTTCTTAATCCTTCCTGCTTTACTGGCTAACCTTCTCATCCCCTTTGCTGATTTTTTTTTTTTTCCCTCACTTCTCTTAACTCTACCTGTTAGGAGTGCCTCAGGCCCTGGTCCTTCTCCTTCTCTATTTCTTTCTATGCTCTTCCCCTAGTGACTTTGTCCAGTCACTTATCTACTATCCTAATGAACTTATTCATTTGACATGTCCCAAGATGGAAAAATTCACATGTCTTTGCTCTCTAGAATTCCCCCTTTCCGTGATATTTCCCTCTCATTGATGGCAGTTCCATTCTCCCGGTTGCTTAACTGCTTTTCTCATACCCTACCTGTGTGTTCACAGGAGTAGCACTTTTAAGAACTTTTGCTTTGCGTTTACTACTTGACGGTTTGGCACAAGAAGCCTAGCTTTGGACCTGTCTCAGCATACCTTCCTCACTGAGCCTAATCATTGTTAGTTTTTTGGTTTTTTTTTTTTGCACCAGGAACTGAACCCAGGGATATTAAACCACTGAGCCACATCCCCAGCCCTATTTTGTATTTTATTTAGAGACAGGGTCTCACTGAGTTGCATAGCGCCATTGCTGAGGTTGGCTTTAAACTCAGGATTTTCCTGTCTCAGCCGCTCCAGCAGCTGGGATTATAGGCATGTACTACTATGCCATCCATTGTTAGCTTTTGATTTTGAGTGAAAAATTGATGACATTTAGTTTGAATACTTAGAGGGTATTGAAGAGTTGTTATTTGGCCCAATTTCAGTACTGTTGTTTCTCAGGAAATAGGAAGGGCTGAGAAATGAGATGGAGACTTGGTGAGGAGTTGGGGGAAGCACACATGTATCAGTTGTTTGCTGTCTTATATGGACATGGTTTGTGATGCCCCAAAACAACTATGATAGCAACATCAAAGATCACTGATCACAGATATAGTAATCATGTATATATTGAAAAATATGTGAAATAATAATTTTTAAAAATTGGATTTTTGTGAGAATTACCAAAATGCAACACAGACACAAAGTGAGCATTCGCTTTTGGGAAAATGGTACTGCCAGACTTGTTTGAGGCAAAGTTATCACAAACCTTCAATTTGTAAAAAAAATTCTACAAACCTTTGTAAAACAAAGCACAATAAAACAGGGTATGATGGTAATAATAGTTCATCTATTTTTTTCTTTTTCATGTTTAATGCATTATAATGTTATGTTAAAACATGACTGTGGGGTTCATTTTCACATCATAAATGCATATACCATAGCTTACCCAGTACTCCCCTATTTCCTCCCCTCCTCCCTGTCCTGTTGTCTATTGATCTTCCTTCTGTTTTTTTAAATTGGTACATTATAGTTATATATATATAGGAATGTGTTGTGATTTGTTCATACATGCACATAGCATAATTTGGTCAACTTCATTCCCCAGTTCTTCTTCATTCTTTCCCTTCCTTTCTCCCTTTTGATTCCCTACTTCTACTCAGCCTGTCTCCCTTTTAATTTTGTGAGAGGCCCTTTTCTTATTCCTCCCCCCCACACCAGCTTCCTCATGACAGACAACATAAAATTGTAAGGTAATTTGAATCTTCAAAATTTTCTTTTTTCCCATATAGTCAAAAGTAAGTGAGCTTGCAGATTATAAAATGTGGGGTATTATCTACTGTTTAAATTAGCTTAAAGCAGTGAAAGTGATAGCCTTCTGGCATTAATAATAGACACTTACCTAACACTTCTTAGTTTACTAAGCCCCTTTGTCTCATCTAATGATTTATTAAAATAGAAAAGTACCTTCATAGCAGTCAGGTGTTGAATCTCCTGAGTTAAAAGTAATAGTCAAGTTTGGGGGTATCCTTTATTAGTTTCTAAATAAAGTTTATTTTTAGTTCACATCTTTGTTGTTTGAAAATTATTGAAGACTTGTGAGGTTTAAAGCTTTCATATCTTGGCCCTGCATGTGCTTCATGACCTGGGAAGCTTTCTAAACCTTAGCTTTTTTTTCACCTATGATGAGTTTTTAACAATATAATTGTCTCATGTGGATTTTGTGAGCTTTAACTTTGGAAATTTATCTCCCTTTCTACTCTTAGCCAATGCTGTAGTTTTTCAAGCTCTTAGCTGTAGCTTTTGTGCCTCTGTTTCTTCAGCTATAGTATGATGGTGATTAATATTACTTAGATGTATACTGAAAGGATTAAATGAGTAAATAGATACTGCAGTACCAGAACCTCTTAAGCACTATATACATATTATGTTATTATGAATGTGGTTATGGGTACACAGTAATATTTTTCTAGATATGAGAAGTTTCTAATTTTGTGCTACACCATAGCTTTTTTTATATATATATTTTTTAGTTGTAGATGGACATAATACCTTTATTTATTTGTTTATTTTTATGTGGTACTGGGGATCTAACCCAGTGTCTCACACATACTAGGCAAGCTCTCTACCCCTAAGCCACAACCCCAGCCCTACACCATAGCTTTTTGTAGTTGGGGCTTTTTGTCTGCATTCAGCAAGAATTTATTCATATAATTTATATTCTTAATAAGAAGTTTATACATGCGTCTGGGACACCTTGTTTAGTGAACTCACCAGTTTGACAACATCTTTCGGAGAAGGGGTACAAATCTGAATCAGTGCTCCGGCCTCTATGAACAGTGTCTTTGCCTCTAGTTTTTGGTATTCTGGAATGCCCATTTCCCCACATGATTTATTCCCAAGATTAAGCTTTTAGACTAAAGAATTATTTACAAACAATAAATAAAAATCTTGTAGATATCAGGTAAAGTATAATTGCACTTTATTGGATATTTTTTCTTATTCCGTTCATTACTTAGAGTCTGTTGTTCAATCAAATGATCTTAGAGCGGGAAAGAAAACTCCTCATCTAGTCAGTCATTCAGTTTTATTTCACTGCATCTTCTTCTACTGTAGACTTTATTTAGATGATTTCTATCATTGGAAAACCTGGATATTAGAGGGCAGTTTTGAAAGTTCTTGCCAGTTTTCCCAGCTCTAAAGAGCTATTAAAGAACAAAATCACCATGGCCAACCAATTTAATCCATTTTATTTTTCCTCTGCATGTATGACCAAAAGATAAACACTAAATCAGAACATGGGATATAGGTAGTTCTGGTAATTAAAAGATAAAAGTAATTTTAAAAGAGTCCTACTTGGAAGTTACTGGGGAAAAGATTCAGAAGGCATATATTTATTACCTCAAGGAAAATCTTTGAATACATTATTAATGCTTAATTAAAAGATAAATTATTTTCTTCATTGTTTCTTAAAATGATTCTTCATTCCAAATATTTTTGAACATTTCCAGCTACTGTCCACTTTACTGTCATTACACAGAAGAATTGTTTGATATATTACTTTCCTTTAAGCCTAGACTAGATATACTGTACTACTTGTCTTCTGTTGATTGCAGAGTTTAGAGTGAGTTGTTATAAATAGAAGGAATAAGGGGATTGCTCTCATGTAAGAAGTTAACTTGTTTCTTTTTGAAAGCGTAATCTATGTTTTAGAAACAGTTATTTTACACTTTACCAGTAAAAATGTTAGTTTATGCTATACTAACAGAATATGGGCTTTGATGTCAAATGCTGGCTTCACTTTGTGTGACATTAAGCAACTTTTCTATCCTTTAGTTTTTTTATATTTAAAATTAGAATCAGGGGCTGGGGATGTGGGATGCTCGTCTGGCATGCTCAGGGCGCTGGGTTTGATCCTCAGCACCACATAAAAATAAAATAAAGATGTTGTGTCCACCGAAAACTGAAAAATAAATATTAAAAAAATTCTCTCCCCCCCCCCTAAAATAAAATAAAATTAGAATCAGGGTTGTAATGTAAATTTCAGATAACAATATATTTTCCTACTGTTTGGAAAATACTGGTCCTGTGTCTACTACTCCTTTCTGTATCTTTCCATTTTACCAAGGGTAGCAGATGAAAACCAAATCAGTTATTATATTTAGTTACATTATCCCAATGCTCAAGCCATTCTTCAGTATTGATAAGAAATCTTTAAGCGCTAGAACAGATATCTAGTCATTCATTTTGTATGTTAATGTGTACAGTAATGCATTAGCTGCTTCTGCTAAGTGTAAAAATATAACACATCACAATATACTCTGTTCATATTTTTCTTTATACATTATGATTATTGAGTATCTTATATTTTTCTTTTAATAATTTGGAGAATGAATTCACTGAGCTATATTACCTGTAAAAATACATAACAGTATAATATATCTTTAATGTTCATAAGGAAATGTTAATCAGTTTTGTCTAGGAAGGCTGAAGCAGGAGGATCACAAGTTCAAAGCCAGCCTCAGCAACTTAGCGAGTCCCTAAGCAACTCAGTTAGACCCTGTCTCTCAAAAACTGCTGGTGATGTGGATCAGTAGTAAAACATCCCTGGGTTCAATCCCTAGTACCCAAAACAAAAAAGAATATAAACTGCTAACATCATAAAAATGTGTTCAAGTTTTGATTAGACCTAAAGATCAGAAAGTGCTGCCAAGATAATTCATTGAAATCTCACTAGACATTTCTTAAAGACTTCTGTATATTTGTTAGGTAGGTTGTTTGTTTATTTATTTATTTATGGTTTTCTCCTCCCCAACAGGAGAGCCTGACAAGGAGCTAAATCCTAAGAAGAAGATTTGGGAGCAGATCCAGCCTGACCTGTACACTAATGATGAGGGTGTGGCCACATACAAAGGAGCTCCCTTTGAGGTGAAAGGGAAGGGAGTATGTAGGGCTCAAACCATGACCAACAGTGGAATCAAATAAAGTGCTTCCATGATGAAGAACATTGGAGAAACTTTAATAATAATAAAAAGGAATATATTTGCAACTTACACCTAAAATGTGACTGCCTTGTTTTTGTGTTCTCTCTGTTAAACTTAACTAACCTTACCTGGTGTGTGTGTGTAAAAATACTACATCTTACCTTTGGTTTTGATCCTTGATAATGAGGAGGGGAAGTTGCCTATGTTTGTGATCATTTATATTTTTAGTGAGGATGTTGGTTAGCTTATTTTTTTTTATACATTAGATAACTTGATTAATATTTAGTTCCTTATTTGTAGGTATGTGATGCATGAAATTTCAAACCTGTAGAATTTCAGTATATTATGAACCTGTATTATTAAATGTCCTGTAAAAAAAAAGACATTGGAATCTGTAAAAGTTATTGACTAGTGATATTATAACACTGAAATGACCAAATGTTGATTCTAAAAGTCAAACATAAAAACCAGGGGACAAGGCATTTGAACATTTTGCAGTTTGCTGCCAAAGTAATCCTGATTTATAATACTTAATATAACTTTTTTAAAAAACTGAAAATTTTAACAGTGTATTACTTTTTCTTTCCACATGATAACATTAGTAATAATTTTTTTCAGAATACTTAATATTCATATATTTTGTTTTTTATATGCCATAATATTGTCTATATTAAAAGGAATTATAGATCAAAACTTAACATATATAGTATGGTGTCAAATACCTATTTTCACTTACCTTACAAATATTATAGGAACAATGAAAATTAACTTAAAAATTATGAGTCTCGAAGTCACGATCCATGAGATGATGACTGATGATTGGACTACCCAGAAAAGAAAGAGGTCAAGGCTAGAGGACAGTATAGATATTGTTTGAAACATATGCATACATACACACAAAATATCCTAACATAGATGATGTCTACATCCTCTGTAAGAGACAAAAACACAAAATCCAACTAGCAACAATCATAACAACCCTGTATGTTATAAAAGACAGGCAGAATACAATACAATACCAATATTATATTTTCATTCTGAAAAATTAAATATGAGCTGATCATTAACATCTATTGATAACTGAAAACAATGAATTTCAAAAGTTTTCTTGTACTCAAGATCTGTTTTCTTTGAGGAATAAAGGCTTATAGTGATAGTCTTTCATAAGTCTTGTTCTAATTTTTCTCTATTATATTGAATTTCCTTAATTCTGAATTACACAATATAAAGAATATTTCAACCACTTAGTTGACTAGTTCCCTGTAGTCATTTTTCCAAGTAAAAATTGGAATGCTCTAATCTATATCAAATATAGTAAAGCCTAATGATTATATCATATATAGAATCTGAAAATTATAAAAACTATTTGTTAAAGCCCATGATGTAACATCATCATTTTCTGATTTATGCTTGAAATTTATGAAATTTCAACACAAAGAGTACATCACACGAATTTCATGTTTTTTCCGTTGTGATCTTATGGCTGACCGAAAGCTATGGCTTGCTGCTACTGCCCACGAGTACTAGAGAGTATTACAATGCACATTGCTACCCCAGGAAAAGATTAAAGTTAAAAACCTGAAGTATGGTTTCCACTAACCACATATCCATCATAAAGCTGAAAAATCTTAAGCCAAACCATTATTTTTTTTTTCTAAGCAAAGGACTTCATTAATCTTTGTTTCAAACTTTAGGTTTCTTCAGCTTAATTAGCTGCAAAGAATAAATTGTGCATAAGCAAAAACTGAAAAGAGCTATGAAGTCCAAGAGGCTTGGGCTTAAAAATATTAGAGATCTAAATTTTATCAAATACATAAACAACTTTAAAAAGCAGTTCTAATACAAATACCAGCTCCCAGTAACTTCCTAAAATTTACCTTCTTCAGAAGTTGATAAGTTACCTCATTCTTAGAAGCCTCATCAAAATTCTCCACAAAATCTTCATTATCATTCTCTCCAGTAGCAAGTGTTGCTTTTCCATCCACAGATTGTTTGGGCAGAGCTTCAGCCAGCCTCCTTAAACTAGTCAAACTGCACTAAGCTGGTTTAAGATGCTAGGTAGCATTGAAATGGTCAGTTGCTTTGTCTCAATACGGCCTATAATGGTCAAACTGTTTGCTGCCAGAGAGATGCCTGAACTTTAGGATTGTTAAAGTGAACCACTGTTCCTTGGTTTATAAACATATCCACCTCTTCGATACTAGAGATATTGTTTACCCCTAACTTCTTTAGGAGAACTGAAGTTTTTCATCATCTGCTATGGCTATTCTATGATCCACTTTCTTATTTTGATAAACCCAGTCTGATTCCCTCTTAAATTTGGAAGCCATCTTGCCACAAAGGCATAAAAAACTAATTTCGGTTTTACTATAAATTACTGCAAATTCTAAACTGCTTGGAATGCCTGCCCGTACCTTGAACTCACCCATGCCTAACTTTCCTTGACCAGATAACAACCCTCTCTGAGGCTCTAATGACCTTCATAAATTCTGATGTCAGGACCAGCAAAAATATAAACTAGCCTCTGTGTTATGCAAGTCAGGGTTTTGTTATCTGTAACCCCCGCTTTGTGTAATTTTCTGGGCTATAAAGCTGCACTTCTAGAAAGCTGCGGGCCTGTCTTTGGCTCCCGTGGTTTTTGTTGGGAGAGGCAGCCCGGCCGTGGAAATAATAAGCTTGCTTTAATTTGATTTTAATTGGAGTCATGGTCTTTTCTTTGCTTCGTGGTCTAACAATTCTGCAAGCAGTTCTTTTCCCACCACTGTGCACTTGTGCCTGAAGTTGGGCGAGTTGTTCCTGGTTCATGATAGTTTCTTTCATCTTGTCAAGCAGAAATGGGGCCACATGGGGGACTGGGGTTGGTGTTCAGGAGATCTCATGTTGACCAGCTAAGATTAGAGCACATACGTCTTTTCTTACTCAAGTACTATAGTATACCTTGCCAATTTTACCAAATGACCATGCTTCCTTCAGCAGTTCTATCAGATCTTTAAAAATTCATGCTAAAGAGAGAAAGAAGTTGGAAATCAATGAGCAACTTTTCAAGTTAAATAAAAGCATTAATTAGGTTTTCAAGTTAGCCCCTATATGTTTTTATTTTTACAGAAAATCTAATTACAGTTTATTTATTACGCTGGGATGGGAGAGTTCTGAGGGAATCAACAACAAAAAGAAAGACATTGTTACCAAACTGGATATAACCCTTCTGGCTTCTTACAGTAGTTTGCCTTTTAAGGATTTCAACACCAGAAGGTAGTATTAGATCAGAGGCTTAACAGCTGGCACCTTCTGATTAGTGATCATTCACTTTCTTGATTTCTATTTATATTGCTAACTGAACCTAGAGAAAAGGTGACCCTCCCCTAACACCCTTAGTTTTGCAAGAGCAGCCCACTATGTTGGTGAAGGCCGGGAGTACTAGCTTTTCTTACAATGGTTTGACTTAAGATTTTTCATCTTTATGATGGATATGTGGTTAGTGGAAACCATACTTCAGGTTTTTAACTTTAATCTTTTCCTGGGGTAGCAATGTGCATTGTAATACTCTCTAGTACTCGTGGGCAGTAGCAGCAAGCCATAGCTTTCAGTTAGCCATGAGATCACAACGGAAAATAAGCAATACTTTCCATCATACTGTGTTACTACACTATGATGTTTGGTAGGTTAGGTGCATTAAATGCATTTTCAACTTCTGTTTTCAACTTTCAATGGGTATATCAGGATGTAACCCCATGATAAGTTGAGGAACATCTATTTAAAAACTCCATGTGTAGTATTTTTTAAAAATATTTCTTTAGCTGTTGATAGACCTTTATTTTATTTATTTGTTTGTTTGTTTATATGTGGTGCTGAGAATCGAGCCCAGTTCCTCACACATGCTAAGCAAGTGCTCTACCACTGAGCTACAATCCCAGCCCTGTAGTATCCTTTTAAAATGAGTCCTTTTTAGGACATGTTGATTTCAACATAAAATTAGAAATCTTTTTTTTTTCTGCCCTACTCCTACCAAGAACATTATTAAGTGCCCACCAAACAGAAAATTTGTTGTTGCTTTTTAAAAGTATGTAAACTCCTGATTAGACTATTTATATGCTTTTCCATATTCGTGGAAGTTTGAGGAGAATCACGACAGCAAGGTACAGGGTGTGGGTTGGGAAGGGACCCTTGTAGAGAAATCTTAGTGAGTTTTAACTGGTCTCTGAGTCTAGGCCTTAGCTTTGCAAGACCAAAAACTTGGATCTGTAGGAGACTGTCAGAGATGCTAAATCTATCGAGATTATTGGTTTTGAAGCCAAATGGCTTAGTTTATGTATCAGGCTCTGTTACTCAAATGCCTGTGTAACCATGGACAACTATTTGGCTTCTATAAACTTTGTTTCCCTCATCTATAAGTGGAAAACAACTGTACCTACAGAGTTCTAAAGATTTTCTAAGTCAGTACCCATAAAATACTTAAAACAGTACCTAGAATATAATAGATGTATACTGAATTGGTATCAATTTATGATAGGCGTATTTCTTTCAAATGCTAGTGTTTCTATTCCTTCTGTCTCTGTTTTTGGTATCACATTTTTCTGAGAACTTGAATTCCTGTTCAGGAGATTTCTTGTTTCATATTGGATGAAGGCCCTGTCATAGCAGACCTGATCGGTCCTCTATACATCAATGTAATGTCTCTTCTCTTTCTGTGGATGCTTATTAAAGAAACTTTCTCTCCTCTCCCTCCACTTCCATTGACATACATTTTTTTAGATTTTTAGATGTTGGCCAGCTCTGTTTATTGAGGCTCTTTTACAAGTTTAATGTCATTGATGTTATAGATAGTATTACAGTGCTCTTAAATGTGTTGCTTTACTTGGCTTAACATAAACAGAAGCAATCCCATTTCTAATTTCTTGGAGGTGAGGGAATACTTCACCATTTCAAAGGGGCATGAATTTACCTCCTCTACCTTTCAGGAAAATCATATGTTGTATCTTTAAAAATAAAAAGTATACTTGGAAGTAGACATTAGACACAACCTTTACATGAATTATCACACAACTCTTGGTTCTCAGTGACATGCAACA